TCTGCCATTTAACTCGACAAAATCAGTCATTTCTAACGAACACTATAATTTTGTATTTCAATATAGGGATGATGAAATTAGATGTTTGCGTTGATTTGCATTGTATAGTTCTTCCAACCTATTAAAAGTCTCCAAATACCGTTATTTTTTAAAATTCATAAACAACATATTTTTTGTTGATTGAATGAAACAGTTTTGGGGCATTTTGGGCCCAAGAGGTTGTGGTTGGAGCTCCTCTGAGGAAGATCCAAAAATCAGGGTTTTCATCATGTTTGAACAAATTATAATTTGGGGGAAAAAAGTCGAGATGATGTAAAAAAAATGGTAACAGACAATACCGTTTAGGAAATGAACCGTTAAATTGATTCTTAATTAATCTTCATTCGTAACACATCATTGTCAAATATCATCAGAAGGATACCTCTGTACTGTACTTTCATTTAGCTATGGACGTCAACCAATCAAACCATTTGACCTTGCCTATGCAAAAATGTTGTTGGAAGATCCCTTTAACTTTTATAATTTATCCTCATGGCCTAGACAGTACATTATGTTGTGTAATGTAGTTTGCAAGAACACAAATTACTTGTAGTGTGATCTAGACTGTGACACACAGACTAACTGCACTGAATAAACTATTCTCAAGTAACATTCAGCTGACTTTTTTACAGAGACCAAATTAATAGGCCAGACATGATGTTTTAAGTTAGGCATGATCACAAGACATAAATGTAGTTCATTTTATATTCTGTCATGTTCAAATAATCCTACATAAAATTTAAACACCAGTCAACTTCACTTATAGACTGTGAGACATGAGATTTACACAGAATCAGATGACAGAGAGACATGGTTCGATATCCAGTCAACATAAACTATGTCATTTCGGGACTAACATATGGTGCTATTTTATTTCCATAATTTGCTTGCATGTAGGGGTATTTAGCTGTTGGAGGAAGCCAGAGGATCTGGAGAAAATCCATTAGGTTGGACAGATGAACCAGCTCCTTGTCACATACAAGCTTTGGTTCGAAATAGCACTATGCTACTTAACTCCCCAAACATTCATATATGTACACATGTAAGTATTCCCAGAAAAGATATATGCAATTTTGTTTAGCATGATATGTACATGTAGGCATATATATGATCTAAGAATGTATTGTATTGAAACCCCTGCATTGGATCTTTAATTAATTATTTAGTTCACACTTTCTATAGAATTAAATCACAGGTACTTAAATGAATTTGAGTGATATATTTATATAAAAAATAGCAGTGATATTTTGGTAAAATCCTTACCATTGTCAAAATGTCCATCAAATGCTATCGTGTTTATGACATGTGTTTGGTAGACCAAATAAAGTAATGTTCCCTCCCCCCTGGTCTTTGGAGAATGGGGATGTTTATTCCATATTTGGGAAGGAAATTAACGCCAAGGTCAGTCTATGACCTACAGAATTAAGGGGGTTATAAAAGAGGGTGTTAAGTGAAATTGATCAGAGCTCACCCAGATATTCCGAGCTGCTATCATGTATACTTTATATTTCAATCACGAAAAAAACACAACAGAGAAGTCCGGTATTACTAGCTACTAAGGCTGTGCAAAAATATCGATATAATCGATAATCGGTAGAAGTTATTTAGCGATACGATAATCGATATTGAAATTCAAATATCGATTATCGGTATATTTACCTTCTGACGGCAAGTTACAGTCACTTTCACATGACTGAACTTGCCGTAGTCTGGCATGCAGTCGACGAATGAACGAATACACAACGTCAACACAACAAAAATTCTACTTTGAAAGCCGGTAATTATTTTTTATTGTCCAATCAATAGACGCCTTCTATTATATTTTATTCTATTATTAGTAACACTGTGTGTATTGTCTTTGTATTTATCGGAGATATTGGAATAAAAAAAAGGTTCAAATGAATCAAGAACAAAACTTAGAATAATACTTAAGTTAATCCTACATTTAGCAACTAATTATTTTACATTAATTGATTTTTTTACGTACATCGGCACAGTAATAGACTAGGATAATAACACTACTGTAACTCGATCAACACAAATAACAGGTCGGTAAGGTTCGGTTTTTCCGGAAGAATGATAATCGATTATTATCGATAATCGCTGACAAATTCTTGCCGATAATCGATATTGAAATTTCATATCGATTCCCAGCCTTACTAGCTACACCTTTACACTACAACTACCGTTCATATACCCATTTTGTAATCGTACTTTATCTTTAAAACAGTCAACCCCACCTCGGTATACCCTAAATTAAATCATCTCTTATATAAATTTTAATGGTGTCTATTATCAGTTTTATGAGATTTTTTAAATGTTTAAGGACTAAAACTTAATTTTTATGGGATGAAAATCATTGCTTTAATGTGTTTTTCATACAGAAATCACCTGGAGTAATATAAAACTAATAGACAGTAATGTGATATGCCGTTCTATCTTTATTAGATCAAAAATACCAAAGCAATTTAAAATTTGGTTGTGTATTATATTGTCTTCACCATCTGTGAATCTACAATTCTTAGCCAAAAATGTCATCACCATAAAAGAATGAAATGAAATGGGGTTTAATGTCCTACTTTTCTGCTCAGACTGGGATAATGAGAATAGGCATACGGCATGTGATGTACTATGAGGGAAATTGTGCCCAGGCTGCTGTGCTTTGGCCTACACAAATTCCAACTACCAAGGGTTGCTTTACATGCTAGCCTATACGCGCACACATGGCCTTGATTTTCCGTACTATCCAAACAATTATACATTGTAGCTTGCAAGGCCCTCCATCCAAAACCACTGACAAGGGGAAACCATGCCAGAAAATCCTGAGAAACTATACCTCAGTCATCACCTGGAGTGGAACTAAGGACCTTCTGCTCTCCTGATGTTTCCAAATATTAAAGCCTTACTGAGTGTCACTTGCTTCAGTCTTGATAAAAATTAAATTTTCAATTGCTAATTGAAGAGCCCACTTTCCTAAACGGTAATGTCTGTAATAATTTTTTGACTTTCTTCCCCAAAATTACAAAATTCACACACAATCAAAAACAACAATTTTTGGATCTTCCTCAGAGGGGTTCCAACCACATCCTTTTGGGCCCAAAATGCCCCAAAACTGTTTCTTTCAATGAAAAAAAATGTTGTTTATGAATTTAAAAAAGTCCACTAACATTCCATGTAATATGAATTCATGCCCCCCCCCCCCCCTTCCACCACTGAGGTCCCCATATCAGACACATTGCATCTGGCCGAGGGTATACAGTATTGTGGTAGTGAGAGTGTATGATGATAAGTGATACAACTTCTGGTTTTATTGCTCGTTTTATTTTTATATACAAATGAACTTATTATCTTCTTATAAGCTGGTTCTCTTTATCCTTGAGTGCATCTCCATATGTAAACTCTATTTACATATTTAACCCCAAATATGATAAGTGGCATACTCCCACTTTCCCAGTCATAACCAACCACAGCCATGTACTCTGTCACATTTAAATTTATTTTGTGATCAGACATATCAGATCTCTTTTTGATAAGAGGGCTATTAATATTGAAACTGGTTCATTTTGGACAAAATTATTTTCTTGCTCAAAATTGGCATGAAATAGAGCATAATTGTCTTACACAAAGTTAGATTAAGACATTCCTTATAAAGTTTTTGATTGGTGATAGTCACCTCACTGTGCTACCGAACTAGTGTTCCACAAGGATCTGTTCTATGTCTAGTACTCTTTGTTATTTATACTAAAGATATTATTATTATCATTTGTAGAATTTGAGATCAGAGGATTAAATGTGAAATGGTCAGAAAATCCGAGCATAGGTCTTTTTAACCACAGGTTTTATATAGTTTTGTGATATTATATCACTATACTAGTTTATGAATAATTACATGTATGTCACACATCTTGTAGTTGTTTTTTCGAGAGGATCTCTCCTAATGTTCCTGATGCTTAATCTGTACATATAGTTTTATCGTTGTAGTACATGCTTCATTACTTCAACCGAAATACTAGACCAAATAAACATTGGGCTTATAGGTTAAAAAACAATTTTGACCGATATACTTTGCCAATTTGGTTGATGGGAAAGATTTATGGCATAATTATCATAGAATAATCTGTGTGCTATTAGACTATCAGAGTGCAGTTTGACTGGGAACAAATTCTTATCTGTCATATCAAAATAATTGTACTAGACAATATCTGATGAAAAGTTTGTATTTTTGTCTTTGCCAAATGTAGATAAGATTAAACATCTGTATGAATTAAGCTTATTATATGTTGAGTTTTGTGATGTTAATATTGAGGACTCAGGAAACACATCCAGGTCCTCCCCATTCCCACCCCAACTCCAGCTATTGATGTACATCCCCCACAGAACAATACAGGTACCAGTTACATTATCCACTCCACTTGTGCACATACATGTATACGGTTTCTATGACAGTTTGATGCCCCTGTCAGAGTGTGATATAGAAGTCCACCCAATATTGTGACTTGAATTTATATAGCTATTACCTTTATACTAACTAGCTTATTGTCATGGTGCACCTTCATTGGCTTCTGCTTAAAAGATCCACAGATATTATGTATTACCCTGTACATTCATCATCAACAAGTCCTTGTGGACAATCTAATGGCTAAAGTTCTTATCCCACTGTAACAATGGGTCTGATTGATTTTCCAACAATTTCCAATCAATACTTTCAGAGTTAACACTCATGATTGCTCAAATGAAACTGTTCAAGAACTACCTTGCTTTTATTGTTTGTTATTTATATGTTTCAGTATGTGTGTTGTATGATGTGTCTTGTCTGTGATTTTGTCTACTGGGTTTCTATACTGTTGTCGTGTGTGGTGCTGTTTTCCTGCACTATTTGCTAATTAAGAAGTAATTGTAGTGTTTGTATTAGAACCATTTTTAATTTCAATTGCTTAATTCTATATATTTTTGTGTTTCAGTCAATAACATGTAGACAGAAAGACGAAAAAGAACCAATATACTGTTATTTTACAAATGGTATTGGTCTTGTAACCAATTAAAATGTTGCTTTCATCTACAACATGTTTCTTTTGGACTGTTTTGTCAAGTCTGCTGTGTGTTGCAGAATTCCGATCACAATTTCCTAAAAACTATAATAAACAATACTTTCATCACTCAAGATCTTTACGAAGTGAACGACCAAATATAATTATGATACTAACTGATGATCAAGACTCACTATTAGGTAAGAACATTAGGTAGCCATCAGCTTTGTCCGTTTGTTCATTCACAATTCTTGTAAATATATGTCACCATTTTCCTTTAAGCATTGTTTGAATTTAGTGCTAAAAATGCTTTGGTTAAGTCAATCTGATTAAAACACAGATCCTATTTCGTTTCGGATTTTTTTTTTAGTTCAAAATTTTGTTTTTTTTGTCTTTACTACACTAGGATCTGGAAGACTTGTTGTATAACCCACGTTCTGGTTGATGTGAGGGATTAGCCAATGAAACGGTCTGTTGCAGAGAGTTCTTGGCATACGATGCATGTAACTGTGGGTTTCCCTCTAGAAACATCAGCGCTGATTGGTTAATCAATGTCTGATGTCATAGGGTCAAAACTCCTGATGCGACCCCAACTACAACCTGTCAGATCTTCATGTAGTAATGATAATAATAATAATAATGTCGATTTCTAGAGCGCCAAATCCATCCATAAGCATGCTCAAAGCGCTTTTATAAAGGAGTAAAAATATATCAATTAATTTAGTCTGGAAAAGATACATGTAGTTTAAACATGTAAGTTTTTAAATGTGATTTAAAACTTGATAGAGGTCATTGAAAGTATAAAAAAAAACGAAACGAAATATAGATCTGTATTTTAGAAGTCAATTGCTAAGTCAATTCCTCTCAAGGATTGTTATGGTCTTTGTGGGTTGCTGTTGATTTTCTTGTGTTAGTACATGTATATGTCCCAGCCTACAATCATACTTGAAATATTTATTAGGATTAACATTTGAATATGCATATCTGTCTCTTAACTGCTGTAGATTGAATTTCGGAAGTCCTAGCAATGAGCGAATGGTAACCATGGAGATGACATCAAACTACCTCTAACATAAAGATTATACTCAATTTAATTTCCACATCATCAATGTCATTGGGCTTATGTAACTATGACCAGTCATTCTGTCAATATTCTGACATGACCCAATGTATATAATCGTGTTCTCCTTTCATCTATTACAGGATCAATGAAGGCCATGCCAAAGACTAATAAAATAATGCGTGATCAGGGTGCATTGTTTACGAACGCATTCACTACAACGCCCATGTGCTGTCCATCGCGTAGTTCTATATTAACTGGACTCTATACTCACAATCATAATACTTACACCAACAATGGAAACTGTTCCTCCGTAGAATGGCAACAGGTCCATGAGCCGAGGACGTTCGGTGTTCATTTAAAAAATCATGGATATACTACTGGTAAGTATTGGGTAAGTGAGGGGTGGGGTGTCAGAGTGTAAGTAATTTCCTCAAGAACATTTGTTTAGAAGGGGGTGAGGGTTATCTCTATGATATTAGTGTTAGTGTGGTGGAAGTGGAGCCATTCTATCTAAGATTGTGGTTATTTGGTTTATATTGTGAGAATTTAGTACTTACTCATTTATTTCTAGAATATTTGGTAAGAATAAGGGGTGGTGGGGATGTAACACTTTTAATCAATAATATTCATTATATAGAACTGAGGTGTTAATTGATACATTTCTTCAATGAGTTATTAATTACCCACTACAGTAATTGTGTGACCTGTTGGTCTCGATCGATGTTGGCTGACATCAGGTATAAATTTTAACAATGACATGTGCATTTTTCGGCCAATTTATTAATTTTATAAAATTGTATAAAATTGAATTGATGTCGGCCAATATCAGGTTTATTTTACCAATACAGGCAGCTTTCGATGTTATACATTGTGTAAGACTGAATCAACCTTGCTGATATAATGTATATTTTACATTGATGTTATACATTGTATAAGACTGAAGTGATATATCAGGTATCTATATGAAGAGTCCAGGGGAAGAACGATCTAATAAAATAAAACCAAGTAGGAACAATCCAAACCATAAGACAGAATTCAAAGTCCTAAAAAACGTTATAGGCAAAATAGTGTATTCAAGATAAATAGTGTAATCAGCAAATGGACTGCTCCTCGTGTACAAATTACACGACAAACAGTGGGAACAGGTGTCCGGAAGAGTAAGCTTACCCTGCCTGGCGCCACACCCGCCATAGCTGCATCCAAACTATTAGGCGAAATGTTGGTAAAATAGCGTGATTGGCCAATGAACTATCGGTATGCAAAATGCACGCGATGAACTGTGTTAACGATGTAGTAGATATTATCAGGGAGATAGTAATAGTATACGTGTCAATTAAATATATCTAGAATAATAGCCGAGAGAGACACGTTATATTTACCAATCAAATCAATATGACGGCGATAAAACTTTTTAAAGGTTTTAATAAGTTTAGTGCGCAAGTATCCTTGTAGTTGAAGCTTAGATGACAAATGCCTTGATCTACTTAAAAAATCAGAATAAAAGGAACAAGCTCTCGCGTAACGAATTAGCTGAGACACAAACACTCCATAAACTGGTGATATTGGAATGTTACTACTAATAAATGGAAAGTTAACAATCAGAAAGTCAAAGTCATCACGTTTATCGTACAATTTAACACTCAGTTTATGGCAATTATCAAAATCGAAACGCAGATCCAAGTAGGAAGCGTAATTGTCACTGTCAGTGGTGTTTTTAATTTCGAGCTCATCAGGATATATCGATATATCGATAAGTGAAATTAAAAAGTTTGACTGATCGTTTATTAGTTTTTACGAGCGTCTGTATGTAATCGGCTTCGTACGAATAGAGAAACAGATCAGCAAGCAAAGGTGCACAGTTGGTGCCCATGGGGATGCCAACCACTTGCTGATATATTTCCCCTCCAAATTCAACAAAGATGTTGTCAATTAAAAAATCCAACATCTGAATTATCTTGATGGCCGTGAATTTGTTTTTGGAATCACTGTGATTCTTAACGAAATATGTGGAATTGTAATTTACAACTAAATATTGATATCTCGCAGTACCTGATTTAGACGAAAAGACACTGTTAATAATGTCTTTCAACCAGGCTTTTAATTTACTATGGGGAATTTTAGTGTACAAAGTAGAAAAGTCAAATGTTTGAATAGATGAGACTGAAGCAAGGGATCTAGATTGCAAACCATCAAGTAATTCTTTGGAATTTTTCAATATCCACATTTGATTTATACCACTACGAGATTATATTTTGTCACAGTATTTTTGAATACCCTCTTTAACAGCCATTAGTATAGATGTCAATACTTTTGAAAGTGGTTTTGTGGAACAACGGGATGAACCTGCTATAAAACGTTGCTTGTAGGGATTTTTATGTAGTTTAGGTATCCAATATAACAAGGTCAAATCTGTATAGGTATCTCCACACGGAGTACCAAATGAAGTGAGTACAGATTTGTGATTGGATATAATTTCATCCTTACTAAGAGTTGATCGTTTATATGTAGCACTGTCGATTGGTTTCCCGAAATTAAGTTCTTTGACGCATAAAAGACAAAACAGACTTTTGGACGAGAATGCTTGACACGAATAGAACAACGAGTGGGTTTAATTACAACTTCAAAATGATGTTTAATACAAATCATGATTACCAGTACAACAACTGACATCCACTTTTCAGCCAAATTAAGGTCAAATAAAGGGCAATATGGACTTGTATTTGTCTGGGAGGACATTTCGGAAGTGCCTGGGTTCGATCGTTTTTACCTGAAATTGATTGTTCCACAGAAAGCTTATGCAATTTGCTACCAGATGGCACCATTAACTGAAGTTCGTTGAAAAATTTACTTAGATCGTTCTTACCCTGGGATCTTCGTATACTTTTGAATCCCTACCAGAAATGTGTTACTGTATTGATTGTACGTTGGTTGATAAATAAACAGCTTTGCTTTAAGAAAGCCATTTATTTTTCAGCATATTTTGGAAAATATTTAAATGAATATAATGGAACCTATGTGCCGCCTGGTTGGACAGAGTGGGTTGGATTAATACGTAATTCACGTTTCTACAATTATTCATTAAATTTTAATGGACAGATAGTTCGACATGGTGATAACTACTATAAAGATTATTTAACAGATGTGATAGCCAATGACACAGTAACATTTCTAAAACAAAGTCGACGATATAACCAGAGCAGGTGCGTTATTGCATTGTTGGGGGGGAATTACCCAGACTGCATACAATCCTGGAGTGTATTAAAGAAAACTTAAATTAAGATGTTTTAAGAATGCAGCTGTTTTAAACGTAGACAGATACCCACTTTGCAAAATTGCAAAATACAATTTTAATCAAGTCAACATGCTTTTTTGTTTACCCAGATCAAAAAGATTGTATTTTCATCCATAATTTCGTGAGACATTAATGTTTTATTTCACATGTATATAGCCAAGTGAAATGAATTTGTTTAAGAAGTGGATCGCGGTGGCTAAGTGGGTAAGATGCTGGCTCGCTAGCCTGGAGGTCGGGTGTTCGATCCCTGCATTGGCCGAGAAAGTTCACCCAGATTTTCCGGCATAACAAGGACAGCTGTCTAGTCTAGTCATTGGTGTGCACGTGAAAGATTCCTTGACAGTTGGAATTTGATATAAGAGTAGGCCATAGTGCCGCTGTCTGGGCAAAATTTCCCTCATAGCACACTGTATGGTGTATGCCCAGTTCGGAGCAAAACAGTAGGACGTTAAACCCCATTTCATTTCATTTCGTTTCAGAAATAAGCAAAAATGGGTTACATATTAAAGGGGGATAACTACATTTCACAAAATTAAAAAGTTCACAAATTGCATCACAAACAGTATAAATAAATATGGTATTTTAGTTACACATTTTTTTTTTATATCATCTTTGTTTACTTCAGTCCAGTATTAATGGTCATTAGTGTACCAGCACCACATGGACCAGAAGATGCTGCACCGCAATATCAACATATGTTTGAGAATAATCGTGATCATAGGTAAATTCATTTTCGTACCTCATTGTTGGGGTGGGGGAGTGTAGTATCCGGCATGATGTGCAACCTCATATGACAAAGTAAGACCTTCATGAATATGGTGGTATAAGAATCAATGATTTAGATATGAGCTTTTATTTTGGGTATCATATCTTCAGAATCAGAATTCTTTTGCCCCTCTTCTGATCCAGTTGTTTTTAAATTTTGTATTTACGTTGTGTAAAATTAATACTAAGAGTAAAAATGTTGTACTTGCTTTAAAACAAATCTAAAAGCTCTACTAACAGTTACATATATCTGTTCTTTTTGAAGCATGATTTGAGACTCTGTGATCGGTGAAAACAATTACTGCCAAATGGCCAATGGTATCCATTCATTGGTTATGTATATGTGGGAGGTCAGTTAAAGTTGTTGTTGCAGTTTTTATTGTTGCGTCCGGTCGACCTCGAATGTTAATCAATTTTAGTTAAAGTTGTTGCTACAGTTTTCGATTTTGTGTCCGCTAAACCTAGAATGTTAAACAATCTTAGTTAAAGTTGGTGCTGCAGTTTTCGTTGTTTCGACGGGTGAACCTTGAATGTTAAACACTTTTAGTTATTAAAGTTGTGGCTGTTTTAATTGTTGCATCTGGTTCTTCTTGAAAATTAAACAAATTTATAGGAAAAGAAAAATCTAGTTTTATTTAAGATAATAGTCAAAAAAAATAAAGGTTTAAAGTTACTAATTTATGTAATTCTTTACAGGACACCAAGTTGGAATGTGGCGCCAAATCCTGATAAACAGTGGTTATTGAATGTTACTGATAGAATGTTACCCATACACCAGAAATTTACCGACTTATTACAACGAAGACGTCTGCAAACATTACAGTCTGTAGATGATCTTGTAGAGAGGGTGAGTCAGGTTGGGCTGAGGTTCACGACAGTATGTAATAAAAAATGGGGTGGGCAGCATTATATGTTTTTTGCACATTCTCTGCTTTCATTCCACTTCCAATGATGTCTGCAGTGACGTATATACATTGAATTAACAAGGCTGACCTTAAAAATATCTTTGTTTCGCCTAACGCGACCGACTAACTAAAACCACCCCCGACTTAAATTATTTTATTGCACTTTTCCGCGATCTTTTTATTTTATTTTGTGTGTCAACCTGAAATATATCACGAGAGTTATTTCCCTTTACTATGGCTATAGTTTGATTCATTATTGAAACTGGTTGATCAAGACGAAAGCGTTATAGGTGTCGCTTCTCAACAAAATGGTTGCAGACGAAAGCACGTCTATTCCCACGAAATGATTCTGCCTCTATGTCTGTGGGGCGTCGTTTTAAAAATGACGAAGATATTTTCAATATCCATTTTCGAGAAAAATGAAGGCACAACCCGCACGATCGTTAAAAACGTGTTGAAGGGGTTTCACACTTAGAGTTCGTGGCAAATCGTGTGCGAGTCTCGGAGTCGTGCATCACGAAAAATCCCGATGTCATACTCATTGATTTGTTTGACAATAAAAAAAGACGAATGTTCCCCCCCCCCCCCCAGAAAATTATCAAGCTGTCAAATTAGCTCTTTAAAAAAAAATCTGAAAAAAAACCCCGACCTACCGACCCTTCTCCTCGATTGTGGGTCGGGTTTGGCGAAACAAAGATATTTTTAAGGTCAGCCCAATCTGAAATATCCTGCTGTAGGCTAGAGTTATGATGTGTTACTATAGCGCTACTGTATGCTTGTATTCATATGCTGTATGAAACTCTTAATTTATCATTCATAAACAAGAGTTTCATGATAGCATGATGATCCCTACCTTATACCAGGGTCTGTACTAACTTCAAGAGTCTTGAATATAACCACTCCCTTGAATTTCTCCATATTTGAAGGCCAGATGAATAAATAACACTGCCACTAGAAATTAGTTTTAGTCTTCATTGTTCCAGTCTTGTTAGTTGTTAATGTGGGAGGTTGGGCCCCTGTTTGCTCTCAGTGAATTTTTTGTGTTTTTTTTTCCAGGTGCATGCAGAATTACATACGTTAGGAGAACTGGAAAATACCTACACTATATATACATCAGATCATGGCTATCATATCGGACAATATGGTCTAGTCAAGGGTAAAGCTATGCCATATGAATTTGATGTAAAAATACCCCTTCTAGTTCGTGGCCCGAATATTAGACATAAAACGGTGTAAGTATTATAGACACTTTCCTCATTCACTGATATAGTGATTGCCTAAAAGAAATAGGCATTGGCTGAATATTGCATTAATAAAAACACTTATTGAATTCATTGTGCTTTATCCAAGAGCAAAATATTTGTACATAATGAAACCTTGATGTTATGCCTTTATAAATACACTTACATAGTACGATTTCTTCAACATACCTGTTTTGCATTTCTTGTTTGGGGTATTATATTAATATATTATTATATATTGTACAATTACATAACTTAATGATTCCGATTAGTCGCTAGAACTTATGGTTTTTTAAGCTTTTAACATTATTTTATCTGGATTATCGCCCTTATTATTGTGATTTATTATCACCTTCTAAGATATGACGTCATTCTCAGTCAGCACACGGCTGTCCCTCGAGACAGTCTACATTTTCTACTTGCTTCTTTGTATTCAGTTTTTTTTCTCGTTTTTTGTGACGATGGAACATGTACCCTATATGTATTAAATACTGAAGCGTTTCTTTATTGAATTTAAGAGTTTAGACTACTTTTTTATACATTTCACCGATGTGGTTACTTGTATAGTTGAATTTTACTACATATGCTTACATTCGTATTTCTTGTAGCATATAGCAGATCATGACTCATGCTGGCATTACACAATGGGTTCTTTGGGTTGTATGCCTAACAGGGCTGCCGACAACCAGTATCGCAGCGCAATTTGCGATGCATATTTTGTCCGTTGCTAATCAAAAATTAAAATCTAAAGTTTTTGATTCGCAGTAACTGCGAATCATTAATATGCCTGTCATTTTGGATATTGACACAAGGATAATCCACATTTGAAGACTAGAAGGCTTTCTCAACACTTTCAACGTGTATAAAATGTTGAATAAAATTTTATAAACAAAACTCAATTCTCCATGTGACATTTTCTTCTCGAACTACCCAGACACAATTCATTATACGGTACTATATAATACAGGGACATAACTCTATGAATAGGGACTATTAAACCGGAAATAGGGAATCAAGTAGTACCACTCACGTTGTGAGACATCAAGTAATTATATCATATTCATTTTGAAAGAAATAAATCCAGTGTTCCCCCACGTATTGTAAATAAAATATAAAAAAATAAATATATGTTAACGTATTGTAAAATGATAAATCAAAGTAAAAATTCCCGTAAAATATTATTGTTTATATCGCGTGTGTCTAGTTAATCGAGGTGCGACCGATTGAACAAAAATATTAATACACGATACAAAGCAGACGAAATTGTTTTCTAACGAAGATTTCTAACGTAACGAAAAAATAACAATTAAAATGATTGGGGCTTCGGAAGTCATTGTCAAAAATTGGCTTCATACATAAAACCCAACTAAATGTCTACATCACATTCACAAACTATCACAAATACTTGTGGCAGTGCTAAAAAATCTAAGAATGGAATCTAATCATATGTGTTATGAACTAAAGTAATATCTTGTTATTTAGGTGTTTTATGTTGAAACTGAAAAACTGCTAATCAATTTTTAAATTTGCTAATCAAATTTGCAAAATTGGACTTTTTGATTAGCAGTGCTGCTAATCAACCGTGAAAAATTACCGACAGCCCTGATGCCTAATTGTTTTCAAATTTGAGTGAAGTCTGTGTCACTACAGACCCGGGACTGTACAGCGCAGTGGACGCTTACGGCTAGCCCCCGGATTCATTCACTTTTTTTTTAATTGTCTGTATGTTTGTGTTTTCCTGAGTATGATGTCCTGTCCGTGTATTTGTTTTTGTGTAAATTTTGTGTGGTGCAGTCCCCCTGCACTTACTATTAAAGGAGCTAAAAGTCTTAACTCAATATTTGCCATAATAATCAAAATTAGAAACACGGATTAGAATTCAATATTGGTCCATTTCAATCAATATTGATATTGTTTTTTTGCCGTGAAAATATGGAATAATTATATCTAATATTTAAGACCCAATGAATATTTTATAGTCACTACTTGAGAAGTACCTGTAATAATAATAAAAAGACGTATGGAATGAACTAAGCAGGCGTAAACGACTGTCATTCAATTCATTGGCATGGGCAGAACTAGAAACCAAACAAATTCTAATGATTTTGTGATGATTACTTAATGAGCTGTCACTCTTAACTCTTAACTGACCCAAGGCGACTTTTGTCGACACCTATAACGTTACCGTTAAGTACCCACGGCGACTTTTGTCGACAAAACCGGTTAGCCGAATGCAACGTTCCTAGCGTAATGAGAGTTATTTCCCTTAGGAACAGACAACTTTATCTCATTTGTTTACTTCCTGTTTGACATTTTGACAGTTAAAAATCTTACTGTTTCTCCTTGAAAAATTATAATAAAACGGTGATATGTCTAGACCTATTCGGCAACGTTCACCTAATGACGGATTACCATCCTTATTGAATGACAGTGATTCAGATTTTATCTGTAGTGTAGATTTTTTACAGTTTTGCGTTAGGCCTAGAACGTGATAGAAGTAGGCTTAGTTAATCAACAAATTTCTATTACGGTACTTAAATAAGCATAAATTAAAAGAGATTCATGATGAATAATTTTTAGTTCACAACAGCCGAACAAAAAAAAAAAATAGAAATAACCATTATATACATGGATTTTGCATGAAATGTCTAAATTAATTTTTTGTATAAATTTATATTTATGAAAATGGCATTAAATTTAGATTATTTCTTCCATTTACATTAAGGGTCTATCTACAGTTGGGGGATCACGTGGCTAAGTGGGTAAGGCGCTGGCTCGCTAGCCTGGAGGTCGGGTGTTCGATCCCTGCATTGGCCGAGAAAGTTCATCTCGATTTTCCGGCGTGGTTTCCCCTTGTCAGTGATGCAGAATGGAGGGCCTGACAAGGACAGCTGCCTAGTCGTTCGGATGGGACGAAAAACCGAGGTCCCGTGTACACATTGGCGTGCACGTAAAAGATCCCTTGGCAGTTGGAATTCGATATAAGAGTAGGCCGTAGCGCCGCTGCCCGGGCAAAATTTCCCTCATAGCACACTGTATGGCGTATGCCCGTCTTCAATTAGCCCAGGTTAGGTGCAGAAGCGTAGGACGTTAAACCCCATTTCATTTCATTTCATTTCTATCTACAGTTATTTATTAATGATATGACTTTAAAATGCATATCTATATTTTAATACTATTGACCATTATGACGTGGGTTTTTATGACGTTATGACGTCAAACCTCTGGGTCGTTTAAGAGTTAATCATATTTTAGTGTATTATAACTGTTTCATTACCGGTAAAAGAACCAGTGTGCGACAACCCTTATTGACTGCTTGGAGGACTTGGCTGCTGTGGGCGTATATTTACAAAACATAAATGTATTATGTCTTATCACCCAATAATACATTCCACAGTAGACATCGCTTGTGTGATAAATTTCATGAATTTGATTGGTCAATCAAAAAGGAACTACTTTTTTTATTTTCAAAGAACAGTTCATTTTTGATTAAAAATAACTTCTTTTTTTATTTAAAAGGAACTATTTTTATTTAATTGACTTTCATGAAAACACTGGGTCAATATAGAGAACTTTGCAATGGTTGAATTGCTGTCAAAAAATGATGTATCACTACGCCATAATGTAATCAGATTCAGTAAAAGTGAAATCTATAGCAAAGAATTATATACTGAGCGCCATTGAAAACGCATCACTTAGTTTTTCGTATAACAAAATGATCCTGTAAACATATCTTATTTATTTTGCTTCTTATTGTGAACAATATTCAAATGGGAACAGATCAATAACAACACATTTGTACACTTATGGATGTTTAACCTGTAATCAAGGGTACAAAGTCAGAGGGTTCAAGACCAAAAGTATGACACAGTTGTCAGTAGCGCGTGTGTCCTCCACGGGCCATCAGCATTAACGCTACGGTAGGCTACAGCATTAACGCGACCCCTGCAAATGTGTAGGGCGGTCCGGTGATGAAATGTGAAGCCTCCCCACACCATTACACTTCCCCCACCCCATCTGGTGTCCTTGAGCCCATATCAAACGCCGCTGACGGTGATGACCCCTGAGGATAGCTCCAACATAAGGTCGTCGTGCACAGAGTCCTACTTCTCTTAGACGACGTCTTACGGTGTTGGCACTTACTGGTCCTTGTCTTCCGACGACTGCTGCACCTGTTTGAGTCGCTGGGCGGAATCTGTCACGCAGATGAGTGACCCGGATGTAGCGGTCTTGAGCCTGGGTTGTAACGCGTTGTGGACCAGGACGTTGACGGTCACGTGTTGATCCAGTAACTCGAACACGTCCCACCAACCTTACAATAGTGGACTGATGACAATTGAAGTGTCTGGCAATAGCACGTGTAGACATGCCAGCCCTGGACATTCCCATGGCTTCATTCCGTTGATTTTCAATAAGTCTCGGCATCTGTAGCTCGATTCCTTCACGCGTCCAACAACAAATTACGACAGATTGACGTTTCACAGTTCATGTACTGCACATTAAGTTGAAAACATGCTTTTAAAGGGCTCACACACAATGCTGCACGTGAATATTGGGTTTTTGATGTGCATCTCGTGCAATTTTTTTTTTTGCACACAGGCTGATATTTTTTGTGTTTGGGAGCATTGTGTGAAACAATAGTTCATAGTATTGCATAATATTATACAAACAAAACCACCTAGTAATAAAATATTTGGGAAAAAAAAGTGATGCGTTTTCTATGGCGCTCAGTATATTTATTTATTTGTGCATGTAAGAAAGGATTGAGTGATAAATAAAATCTCCTACTCATTTTTTTTTACTTTATCGACTTGTGTTGATATTTTTTTATATCAAAAAAGACTCGTAGGAGATTCTCTTATATCAGTTTTATTGTTTAACCAAATGAAAGAATGATCTTGAAAGGAGCCGTTGTATTATTTCTTTTACAGTATACCAAATATTGTGGCTAATGTAGATTTTGCTCCAACTATATTAGACATGGCAGGAATTAAAGTGCCTGAACACATGGATGGACGTTCATTTTTACCTTTATTACTGGCTGCTAAAGAAAGGTAATATATTCATTAAACCACTAGGTTAGGTTACCTTTTACAACCAGTGTAATCCAGGTCTAAACTAATGACTTACTATCTGGAGCACCTCATACCACCCCTTTCAGGACTTCAGGGGTTTGGGTGGCCAAATGTTTAATGTGTGCGAGTTGGATCAGAAGGACTGTCATTGAGGCAAGTGGCGTGGTTTCATTTCCTTGCTTGTACATGACAAGGCATAGGGGCGTAGGGTGTTCTCCCCACTGATAAATACCCCAACACGCAGGCAAATTATTGAAATAAAATCCAACCATATGATAGTCCTGAAATGACCTAGTTTGTGTTGAGTGGATATTAAACCCAATCTCTTTAAGTAGTTCATATAGCTAACAAATTTTTGTTATACTTTTGTATTAGATTTATATTTTATAATTTTGTTTGCCTACACAGATAACTTTCTTTTTAACACTTTGTGCTTTTGAGATTTTTCCTAATTTTTAAAATGTCCACCAGTAATAATTTAATTCAGGTAAATTTCTTAATATCAAAATATCAGTGTTAGATAATATCACAGCTTGGTTTCAATCCTAGTACATTCAACTTTCACAATATTGTAGTTGATTCTATTGCTGCATGACAGAATCCCCCAAACTCGCCATAGAATAATGATTGTCATTTGTTAGTATGGAACATCTAATACCATTTCTCATGTCTCATATTTACTTTTGTTGCCTTTGTATTTCACATATTGTATTATTTTTCAGTAATAATGGTCGTAAATTTATAAATTTAACAGATCCATGGAGAGATACTATATTATTAGAAAGAGGGTAAGTCTATTATCAGAAAGAGGGTAAATCTGTTAAGAGAAATGAAATGAAATGGGGTTTAAATTCTTGTTGTTCTGCTCCGACTGGGCTAATGAATGTGGGAAATTTTGCCCGGACAGCAGCACTACGGCCTACTCTTAAATTCCAGCTGTTAAGGGTTCTTTTATGGGCACTTCAATGTGTACACAGTACCTCAGTTTTTTTGTCCCATCACAATGACTATACATTGTACTTGCCAGGCCCTCCATTCTGCACCACTGACAAGTGGGAACCATGCCGGAAAATCCTGATGAACTTTCCTGATGGCTTGCCTGTTATTACTGTGAATTGTCATCAGTTATGTTCGGCGAAATACTCCAGAAGTCTTAACCGCAAGTCAGTTTCTAGCGTCTGGTTATTCCAGTCAACACTGATATTATTTATTGCGCATGCTCTCCAAATAAGGACATGATATCACCGTCTGACATGACTTGTGGAATATGTCTAGCCTCATTCTTTGAGCACCTTGTTACAAGTGGCGCTGAAACGCATTATGGTACACAATTCGTGTACCAATGGTAAAATGTTTATTTTGTCTTAAATATTGGATATCAGAAGCCCATCTTTTCCAGGTAAGATCACAACACCAATGCTGATTTAAATTGCAAAAAAAAATCGTGTTTTCAATGTCGAAGATTTTGGATGATATTGAGTTACGGACTTAGCTACTTTAATACTAAGCGACATTTCGAAGAGGATAATTGTGTATCCATAAAATTTTACCTTGTGTTAATATGTTCAATTACTAAATGCCAATCAAAGAAGTCTTAACATATTTTTGATATTTGGAGAAAAATTTGAACAATGCTTTGCTTTTAACCAGTCAGTTTGCTTACAGCACATTTCATTTCTAATTCAATTTTTTTTGCAGTAAATTAACAAAGACATTATTAGATATTTATAATAATGGTGGTGTAGGTGTTGTACAAGATATATCTAAGTCTCCTAAACAGATCCGATTAGGTCGTGTTTGTGCTAGACGAGACAGACAGCAGCCATGTAAACCAAAACAGGTATGATATTAGAAATATTTGTAAAATTCTGTTAGATGAAAATTGTTGTGCTTCCATTAATTGTCCGGCTAAACGAGTCATATGTGTCAAAAAATCAAAATGCAATCATACATGAATTTAAATTCTGGATTCAAAAACTTGAAATTGATAAGTGAAAATATATATGCAATAATCTTCCAAAATGTCAGAGTTATTGAACTTTGATATTCAATGAAAAATAGATTCCAACGACACAAATTTGGTTTTACTTGTAGAGGTGGTATTGTGAAAAAAATCACGAGAAATGGTATAAAAAAAGATGTCGCTATCAGTCAGATCAACCAAAATCATGTCCCTGTTCATCCAGTAAGAAGAAATTGAAAAGAGAAAGAAAGAAACAGAGAGAATTTCTACATAAATATGCTACTAAAAGTAAACACAATTGCCTATTATTTCATAACTAACAATATAAGATCTACAAGGGGGTGATAGTGGAGGGGAGATAGGTGCGCCTTCCTTTGCCATTGGTACAACTTTTCAAGCCCCAGAGCTGACAATGAAAGTGTGTCTAATCTACCTCAAAATGTATGGTCAACCATTTTCTCCTGCCCTTATAATAATAATAGTAATGTACGTCTATAGAGCACTTAATCCATCCAAAGAGCATGCTTTGGATGCTGCATATGAATGGATAGCATCTCTCTCTAACAGTATTGTTATTAATTTATAAAACCAAAACATGCCCTGTCTTTGCATGGAGTTAAACATACTATATATTATCATGGTCATCTGCATACCTTTGAGAAATCATATTCTTCATTTGGTTGGCTATCAGCTTAAAGTGTTGTTTACAGTAATTGCTGGATAAGCAATGGGCATGATTCAAGAGTGTATCTAATACCAGAACTTAAAATGTTAGATTTTTTAAATTGATATGCATATTCAACAATTAGTATGATTAAAGGATGTATGACTCTATCCTTTAGAACCTTGAAATAGACAAAAATGGTTCTAAAAGCACATAATATAAGAGATAAGAGTGGCTATGAAGACCTAGTTATCCCGGGTTTTTTTAAAATTATTAGTTGGTCGTTTGTGAATCAGCCTTTACTAATTACATCCAAATTGTGTTGTAGGATGTGTTTTTATTTGTTCATTACAAAATGGCACCTGAAACCATAGGCTACACGACTTGTGTACTGATTATAAAATGTTAATTGTGTCTTAAATATTGGACATTAGGATCCTATAGTTTCACGGCAAGATAAAAACATCATTATTGATTGAAATAGACCAAGATTGAATTATGAATTGTGTTTTTAATTTCGAATATTATGGAAAATAATGAGTTGACTGATTAATGACGACAAATTATTCTGGGTTCCAGAGACTTAATGGCACTTTAATAACAATATCATATAAAGCAGATCTAGTTATTATATGTTTCATTGTTTTGCAGGTTTTATACCAAAGTTTATACGGAATAAAAGATCAGCTATAAACAGTCTGGAGTATGGAACATCAGGTTTAAACCTTAAACAATCAATAGCAGAGAGAGACACACCACTAGGTAATTTCCGAGGGAACTCTCAACTAGAATTGTCTGGATTCAGATTTTTGGATAGGTTGAGAAAAATATTATTGATTTTTGATGTCTCTGAATTCGAACACGTTTTGTCAATTATTTGTGGAGGTATCACCCTAAAATGTCTACATTATTCATCTGATTTTGATCAAAAAATGAACGTAATTTGTCAATTATTCACTAAGTAATCACCCTTGATTTTATCTTGATTTTTATGTTCTGGAATATAAGAACCAGACTCCACTCAGTTTATTAATTACTAGCAGGATACCCGGCTTCGCTCGGGGGTCATAACTCCGAAACCGGAAGTGGTAGACTAACGCCACCTGGCCTATGTTACTCCCCAGTCCGAGCTACCCCTATACCCCAAATTTCAGACTCGGGGCAGACCTAGTGTAGCCGCCAACCATAAACAGACCGGCTTTGCTCGGGGGTCATAACTCCGAAACCGGAAGTGGTAGACTAACGCCACCTGGCCTATGTTACTCCCCGGTCTGAGCTACCCCTATACCCCAAATTTCAGACCCGGGGCAGACCTAGTGTAGCCGCCAACCCCGAACAGACAGACAGACAGATACCCGGCTTCGCTCGGGGGTCATAACTCCGAAACCGGAAGTGGTAGACTAACGCCATCTGGCCTATGTTACTCCCCGGTCCGAGCTACCCCTATACCCCAAATTTCAGACTCGGGGCAGACCTAGTGTAGCCGCCAACCCCGAAAAGACCGTCTTCGCTCGGGGGTCATAACTCCAAAACCGGAAGTGGTAGACTAACGCCATCTGGCCTATGTTACTCCCCGGTCCGAGCTATCCCTTTACCCGAAATTTCAGACTCGGGGCAGACCTAGTGTAGCCACCAACCCCGAACAGACAGACAGACCAACAGACAGACAGACAAACGACAGTCACATATATATATATAGATTTGCCCATTGACTTCAATGTTAAATGGCTGTAACATCACAGCCTGTAGCTTTTTGCTCAACATTCCGTTGGTTCAAATCTTTATAGGCACAATGGGGACAACATTTGGCAATCTCATCATAATTTTGTAGGGGGTTAACCATTAAGGTTTTTTGCTACGCATATTTGAAGTTGACTGGGGTGAAAATCTCACTTCCGACACAATGATTGCTCTGCAGAAGGACACTTTACACCCCCTGTCCCTCCGCTGTAATATCATCAGTATTACCCAAAACTGCTATGAAATTGCAAATTTGATCCCTTTTCTCCAATTCTAGACCAAAAAGTCACCCCAAAAATGCAGGAAGAGGGGAGAAAAAAATTAAGGGAAAATTGTCTATTTATAACTCGCACTACATTCGTCCATCATGAAATAAGGGGAAATAATTACTAGTCTTAGTCCATATAATGTACCTGTAACATTGATACGCTAACACTTTAATAAAAAAATTTCATTACCCATTTGCGGATTCATAAATATTTTCAATATGATTTGGTATATTAATTTGTTTCCCTCATTTCTTCATAAAATGAAATCCTGGGTCATACAGTGTGCTTGAATATATCCAGTATTTGAACACAGTTTTTGAAGTGAAATGAAATGAAATGGGGTTTAACATCCTATTGTTCTGCTACGACTGGGCTAATGAAGACGGGCTTACACCATACAGTGTGTTATGAGGGAAAGTTTACCCGGACAGTGGCACTACAGCCTACTCTTATATCGAATTCCAACTTCCAGGAGATCTTTTACATGCTACAGACTGCTCTTATATCAAATTCCAATTGCCAAGGGTTCTTTTACTTGCATGCCCGGTTTTTCATCCCTTCTGAACAACTATACGTTGTCTCTTGCCAGGCCTTCTATCCTGCACCACTGACAAGGGGGAACCATGCTGTGAAATCCTGATGAACTTTCTTGGCAAATGCAGGGATCAAACACAGGACCTCCAGGTTAGCGAGCCAACATCTTACTCACTGAGCCACTGTACATGTGGCTCCCCTATTGTTTAAAAGATAAGATCCAAATCGATCTGTATCCTGTTTGAGTTCTAGTTCTGTCATAAGCAGGTTATCTCCCAATTGTTGATCCAATAATTATAGCCTTTAGATTTCATTTCCCAAATTATTTTCTCAATGTAATTTTTAGATTTATTTGAGCGCCGATGTAGAATATTAACCAATCAGACGATCCAGTGTGATGATGAACTGTACGAAGATGCTTCCGCATGGAATGAACATAAAACAGAGATTGATGGGTTGATTAAAGAACTCCGGAAAGCATTAGAGGATTTGAGGGTAAGTCATGCAGTATGGAAAAAGGGGGATTTAAGGTCAAGTTATGAAGTAAGGGAAAAGAGGGATTTGATAATATATGAAGTAAGTGAAGAATAGGAAAATGGCTGGAAGTTATGGGAATGAGGACTGTGAGGATAAGTGAAGAATGGGTAAAAGGGCTGAAGATGGTAAATGGGTAAGAAGGGTATGTGGAGAATGGAAATGAAGACATTGAGGGTAATTGAAAAAGAGGAATGAGGGCTGGGAGGTTAAGTGAAGAGGAGACAGATGTCTGAAGGGGTATATTAAGAAGGGGGAAGGATGGCTGTGAGAGTACGTGAAAAATGGGAAAGACAGCTGGAAGCAGTGATGGGATTTTAAAATTTATCTTTGTTATAGCAGTATCAACCTTAACATTACTGTTATCAAGCTGTGCATATATTTAATTACCTTACAGCAATGTGTTTGGATGTTCAAGATAGATGTATAGGCAGTATAACACGATAAATACGTTGATCACTTAATTACCTTCTTAATCCATCCTATTATCAATCGGGTTGAGTGGTAGATATACACTCAGTACACTATGTTAATTTTGGAATTTTGAATATTATTTAACAAAGCTTGATGTCCGATTCAGCATATTCCTGGTCAGACAATTTGGGACGTTTGGAAAATAGCGTTTGACATGTCCGGAATATACGTGCGAAATCTCATCACTGACTGAAAGGGTAAGGGTAAGTAAAGAAGGGGAAAGAGGGGTAATTGGCGGAGAGGGGGGGGGGGGAATGAAGAAGGTAAATGAGGACTGGGAGGGTATGTGAAGTTGAGGTAATTGATATTTTGGAATGGACTCTTCGTCTGATCTTCCAAAAAAACTATGATAACATCCTTGCCACTTGTTTAAAATTCATTTCTTAATAAGATATTCACAAATTAATAAGTAGCATCTATAATTTTCTGTGTAAAATTATCTAATAGTAAGTGCAGGGGGACTGTACCACACTCAAACAATTACACAAGACAAAACACAATACGCAGAAATCACAAACAAGCGTACATATCAGATCATGTCCACTGTGCTGTAAGTCCCGGGCCTGTAGTGATACAGACTTCACTCAAAATGAAACCAAACTAACAATAAGGGAATATTTCCCAAACTTTGTATAATACTAGTACGAGTCATATCCGTGAAATATAGTAAAAAGCCAAGTATAACTAAATGGCCTATGTGGTAGTGAGAAAGAATTAAGGTGTATTAACTACAAAGTTGGGGCATAAGTCCCTATTTCCACAAAACAGAGAAGAAACCAACACTGAATACAAGGAAGCAATCGGAAAAAATGTGAATGATGTTGCGTAAATAATTAATGTCATAAGTTATATTAACAACACAGTGACCACATCTTTGATGAAACGATCGGATTTTAAGTTGGGATGCTAAAAATTGTTTCAGCAGTTCAGAATACACAAGGATTTTTTTTCCCCACTTGTTTGTTAATAGACCATAGATAGACACATCCAAATATTATGAGCCTTTCGATTTATAGTTCAGATTATTTTTCATCATTATCTATCTATTGTTATAATGTAGAAATAGGTGGATTATTGCATTTAAAAAGTTTATCACACAAAACACATTTAGTAGTCTATTTTATTTATAGGTTATAAGACGACATCTGAAATCTGAGAAACCTGATCTGGAAGATATTAATAATTCAGATACATTTTACACAGATGCAATGATATTTCAAGGTTTTGGGAGCGATGCCGATTCCGAGGAAGAAGAAGAGGAAGAGGAGGCCTGTGATTGTGATGAAACAACTTTTCCATTCAGGTACCAGTATGTTATAAATAATATCATGTTGGGAATTTCAGATCTTTGGATCTTTCACCATTTTCATTTCATTTTCATTTCAGTATGTATATAATACCAGAATGTGAATTCCAGATCTTGGGTTGTCACTATAAGCAGGTTGAGGATTTCAGATCTTATTTGGTTGATTCCTTAAATGCTGTGACTTTACTCTTGAAACAGTATCATCTACATATCATTTGTTATGCTTATAGCAGTATCTACCTAAACATTACTGTTATCAAGCTGTGCATACAGGCCTCGAAATAAGACGGCACAGGGTGATCAATAAATCGATCCCCTGATTTTTGGTCCAGGTGATCGATTTTTTGATCACCTGAGGTATCAACCAGGTGACCAATCGATCACCTGAATCGATCACCTAAAACTAGAGATTGCATGATGTTGTTTGAATGTTGTTTCTTGAGTAACTTAAATTGTGTGACCATTTACTTAATTCATTTCAGGGAATATATCCAAGATACAATTTGAAGAACTGTTTTACTCCTTCTATAACCAACTTGTTATTATTTTAGTGTAGGTGTGTCATATGCCGCCATTTTGTTGTCTAAGAAAAAGAAAAAATACGGTTTTCCCCACTAATTAAAAGATCTGTCACAAATACAATGGGCCTCTGAAAATCCGTAGGTTACGTTTTTTGTAACAACCGCAAACAAAATGATGTTTCCTTGAGAAAAAAAACCGAATGTGGATAGGTTTTAATACTTTTAACGGCTTATTCATCGTTGTAATCCAAGTTCGATGTCTTTTCCGCGGATGTTTCAAAACACTAATAATAAATATTTTGATATCAATGTTTAGCGGTAGTTTCGTATTTTTTAATAATGGCCTTGTGGTTGAATAAAATTACTATTTTCATCGCTAAATACTTCTTAGAAAACTTTAAAATAGTTTTCCGTTGCGTCAAAGAAATTAAAACCTGTGTTATGTCATATCATTTTGTTTTAAACTTTCTTCTTATACGAAAATAAAGCTAGCATATCAAATCAAACATTAGCGGAATTCCCGTAAAAGGAGGGGGGTGTCCCATAACGTCAGTAAGAAGTTCCCCGGAATTTGACGTTGCGACAGACGCTAAACAGAATTTATTGGAATACACAGATTCAGACGTCTTTTATTTGGTTATAGAAACCATCAAACTAGTCAACACTATTCTCCGTGAGTTGGCCACAGTTTTGCTGAGCCAACTAAAACGTGGATTTAAATTGGTGTTCCCCATAAACTTTTTACTGATCACCCGACATAACCGGGGAGATCAAATTATCGTTCTCCTGAAATCTCGTCCAGGCGATCGGTGGCCGATCGACCGATCGATCGCCTACTATATCGAGGCCTGGCATATATTTGATTACCTTACAGCAATGTGTTTGGATGTTCATCTGAAATACAATAACCTGTACTTCTAATTTTATTTTGATTAAAACAGTTTTTGAATATCAATTCCAGCTATATTTAGTTAACAGCAATCTGATTGGTTGACATCAAGTAAACAATGAATATTCTTCCATAAAAAGGTCTATAACCATAGTTCTAACATCAATGCCATCTCTGTATATTCAGTTACCCTTATTGTAAATATGTAATATGTTACATTCACTATAATCTATCTTTCCTGTGAAAATTTGTCACTGATAAAAAAAAAAATAGACTAGGGAATGGAGCATAATCAGCTTGCATTAAATGTCATTTGTTCTGTACTAAGCAGTATTGAATTTTGTTCTAGAAAATTTTCTGCTCATATAATTATAATTTTTATTCCAGACCGAATCGTAAATTTGAAAATAATCGACGGTTGAATCGCTTCAACAGAAGACAGCGAAAGCACAAAAAGAAGTTCCAGAAGCGTAAACGTGGCAAGGAATGCAACTCGGCTAGTATGAAATGCTTTACACACGATAATGATCATTGGAAGACTCCACCCAAATGGACTTGTAAGCACTTGTTTTAAAATTTACTGTTTTAAAGAAAAAGGACCTCTTTGATTTAGGTTGAAATAAAATGTTAAATTTGTTTGGTCACATCTGGTAGTTCATTAAGTTTGGCAGATTAACACAAAATGTTTTGAGTTAGTCTTTTTTTATAAAGTTTAACTTAAACTGTCAATTCTTGACACAGCATCGACCATATCTCAGTATTAGATCTCTCTGCAGAAGTAATTTGTTTTTATTTAGACATATTATATCCATTTCATAAAAAAAACCCAACACGTCCAATTTGATAAAACTGGCATGTTTATTTTTTGCCCAATTCAAAGAGGTTGAGTCCATTTGTCTTTCTCTGCTTTCTTTTGATGGACTTCCTCTAAGTTATCTTGAAGTGTTATTGTAGTGTACCTTCATATTCTACTTGCTGCACTTGTCCACATCCTGGACTTTTTTGAAGTGTGTACAGTACACTGCATATTCTTTTGCTCTAATTAGTCCTAAGAGCTATTGTTTAGAATCGATTGTGGTTAATTTTTATTCTAAGCTGATGTCATTTACACTGAGAATATTAAATGAACTGTATTTGAAATCTGAGACAAATCCATCATTGACACCCATATATTTCAAGATGTAGATTTAAAAAAACCTCAATGCTTTACTCGTAGTAGGTCAGTGGTCGGAATGAAGATAATTAGATGAGAATGAGGTTATTTTGAGTATGAGGTTATATAAATTTGACTATTTATTTTCTCCATTACAATGATAATGGCTTTTTTTAATACAGAAAAGTTGATTAAAAGGGATTGCCTTCTTTTACGAAGTTAGTGTATTTGACATACACATTGCTACCTTGACTGTATAAGCCATCCTGTTTTTCAGCTTACTAATGATATGTTTGAGAATGACCATACACAATGATAGTTTCTAGATAATATAACTCCAGCTGATTATAATGTTTTTCTTCAAACCTAAATAGCTTGGGGTTATTAGACAGTAATAATAATGATATGCTTTTTGTTACATGTAGTTCAAGGTTCTAAACAATTTTTTACATCTTTTTAAACTGTAGTCTAGTAATTAAACACAGCTTTTAAATTCTAGATAATAATTTGTGCAAATAAGTTTGCTAAGGCGGTCAAAGTATCATATGTATGTCATACAATCTTGACATTGTCAAGATAGTTTATCACTTGATAAAATATTGTTGTTAAGAGTAATGATCTTCTCATAATCAAGTACAGTGCAAATGGAAATCTGTCCTTTATTTATCTTGTAATACTCTATATTATCATATCTATAAAGCTATATTTTCTATCAATTCTATTCTGGCTTTGTAGCTAACTACAGTTAGTTTGAGCAGCAAAGAAAAACTCAAATATGAACAACTCTCATTCCAGTTTATTTTCAGTTATCAATTCTTAGAGTTTTGAAATTCAACACTCATAGGAATTTCAATACTTCTCTGGGATCCGTAGTTTGAATATTGATATAAAATTTCACAAACAACCAGTTATCATTTGATAATAAAGACAGGGTTGTCGGTGTTTTATTTGGCTTGAGGATTTTTATTTGAGTTTTTCATATTGACTATAGTAATTCGGTATTCAAATTACGTTATCTTTTAAACAGTTTGTTCTTTTTTTCCTTTCTGTCAATAGCTAAACCTAAAAAGCGTAGACGTAGACTCAATCACCCAAGGTGCTTCAAGGAGGGGGATAAACAAGGCATGGAGTGTCATTTCATGGATTCGAGTCATTGGCGTACAGCTCCATTTTGGAAACGTAAGGAGCAATTTCTCCGTCCATTTTTTAAAATTAAAACTCACTGCATCTTCAATAACATCGCCACTCTCATCTCCATGCTAAAATCAAGATAGCTATCAAATAACAGATCCTCCCCTGGCAAATATCAAGATTGTCTATTTCAACAAGACTAGCCTATCAAATAACACTTCCCTATCACATCCTTTTATCAAATTAGTCTAGTTAAACCAGACTAACAAATAAAACATCCTGCCCAGGCTAAAATCAAGATTGTCTAGTTCAACACGACTATCAAATAACACCCCAACTATATCCTAAAACCCATACAGACTATCAAATAACACTCTCATACCCGCTACTAAAAATATGTTAGTCTTGTTCAACCAGGCTATCAAAAGTCGTAGCCCTGCTCACGATAAAATGCTAGTAGTCTAGTTCAACAAGGCTAAAGCTTGCGTAGTTTGCCTTACTAATATCTGATTAACCAAATTTCTTTAGCTTTCCTATGAGTTTATAATGTTTGCAGGTCTATCTCATAAGTTGGAAATTGAACTCGAAAGACAAATTTCCAGACAATCAAAGAACTGGAAAACGGCAAAGAGTATCAATCTGTTGTTACCTGATGAGTTTTCATTTAGACCAGACAATTAATTTTTTATATACTATTTATTTTTTATTATTCATTTATCAAACTTTTAAAATAGCAGTTGTGTTTATTACTGCTAATTGTCCCCCGCCTTTCGAAGAAAGCAGGGGACAATTAAAATGGGTTCGTCCGTCTGTCTGTCCGTCTGTCTGTCTGTCCGTCACACTTTTTGGGACACAATAACTCTCTTCCTAATTGAGCTAGAATGTTCAAACTTGGTGTATGTGTTTATTAGGTCAATGCCTTGATGGAGTTCGAAGATGAGCATTTTCCGCTTAGGGTAAGCAGAGATAAGCAATTTGATTGGTTGATGCTTTGGGACACGATAACTCTCTTCCTAATTGGGCTAGAATGTTCAAACTTGGTGTATGTGTTGATTAGGTCAATGCCTTGATGGAGTTCGAAGATGAGCATTTTCCGCTTAGGGTAAGCAGAGATAAGCAATTTGATTGGTTGATGCTTTGGGACACGATAACTTTTAATTGAGCTAGAATGTTCAAACTTGGTGTATGTGTTTATTAGGTCAATGCCTTGATGGAGTTCGAAGATGAGCATTTTCCGCTTAGAGTAAGCAGAGATAAGCAATTTGATTGGTTGATACTTTGGGGCACGATAACTCTCTTCCTAATTGAGCTAGAATGTTCAAACTTGGTGTATGTGTTGATTAGGTCAATGCCTTGATGGAGTTCGAAGATGAGCATTTTCCGCTTAGGGTAAGCAGAGATAAGCAATTTGATTGGTTGATGCTTTGGGACACGATAACTTTAGTTCTAATTAAGTGAGATTGATGAAACTTGGTGTATAGTTTCATTACAGTAATACCTTGACTAAGTTTGATAATGAGGATTTTCTGCTCAGGGTAAGCAGAGCGAAACGCAATTTGATTGGTCGAGACTTTGGAAAACAATAACTCTCCTACTTTGATTGTCCCCCGCCTTTCGAAGAAAGCAGGGAACTATTAAAATGGGTTCGTCCGTCTGTCTGTTTGTCTGTCTGTCCGTTCTGCTTATGGTAAGCAGAAAAAACAAATTGAAAAAGAAACTATTATAAATTAATTAAATATGTAGTATGCAATAATGAATTGACATTTAATGACAGAAAGGAAACAGTGAACTTTGCACAACTTGCAGCAAGATGGAAAATAGACCCGTTGATACAACCAAACTCTAGATCTGTAGGCATAGAGCATGTTTTCCCCTTAATATGCTATAATGATTCCATCAAAAACATTGTATGCTTAGACTATAAGTAAAGATATACTGTTTGATTGTTCAATACTTTGTAAAAGATAATTTGTGATAAATTTATATGTGTCCTCTAATTATTTTCCTATTTCGGCGGGGGACATCAGCCTCACTGTTGGCTTGTTTTTTTTAATGTAATCACTATAACCCATTTCACAAATACACCTTAGTTGTAATCACAGGAACCTCATTGACTCTAACCCATGCTACAAATACACCTTGGTTGTAATCACAGAAACCTCATTGACTCTAACCCATGTTACAAATACACCTTAGTTGTAATCACAGGAGTGGATGGCCGAATGGTTAGCCCGTGCACACTGTTTCATAAGGTTTGTCATTAAGTCAGCTGGTGTGGTTTCAATCCCCGGTTGTACGTGACCAGGAGTAGTGTCGCCTGTCCATCCTCGTGGGTTTTCTCCGGGTCCTCCAGTTTCCTCCCACTGCTAAAAACCCCTATGCGCAAGCGAAATATTGAAATAAAATTGAACCATCCCCATTTCTCTCTCTCTCTATTTCACAAATACATCTTGGTTGTAATTACAGGCATCTCCTTGACTGTAACCCATTTCACTGTGGGGGTGCTCTTTGACTGTAACCCATTTCACAGTCCAGAACATCCTGAATTGACAGAATTGTGATCCAGTGACGCGGAATTCAGTCCTGTCACAGTTCTGTCAGTCTTGACTATGGAGATTGTGTTTCGGCTGCTTGGTTGCTTGATATATTTACTTATCCAGTCGCCGCATGCGTTGTATCCCGAAATACCCCTTTTCCCTCAATTGTCACTATTTTTGGGATTGAAGAATTCAATACTGGAACGTTCAATGTCCGGGATGATATTAGTGATTACATGGATTTGGTTATCTAATATGTTCAGCATGATTTTTTAATAATAGCTATACTATGAAAGGTAATGCTATTCAAAGAAATTATGATATTATAAAAAAAAAAGTGGGGACTCTAACAGTGAAAAAAAATGACGGAGAAAGGGTGTCATGTGCAAATTAAGATAGAAAGGAGGAGATAACTGTGAAATTAAGATGGGAAAGAAGTGGCTTTCTGCAAAAACTTAAGATGGAAGGGGAGTGGAGAGGGATGTGTGAAAAATTAAAATTGAAAGAGGGAGATAACTGAGAAATGAACCATGGAAGGCAAAATGACTTTTGAATCAAAAATATATGCTGGTGACTTCATCTGGGAAGTTTCAGACTTAATGTGCATTAATTATTAATCAAATAAAAATGTTTGGAAGGATATTTTTTACAGTATTATGTTTAAATCTTCTACCTTGTCATGTTTTCTATTCCATCCTGCTCTATTCCATTCATCTACACCCTCTATTAGTAGCTTTACTAATAATCAATGGATAATCTCTTTATTTAAGGGGAGGGGTTTGCATGTCTTGTATTGTGGTAAATTTAGATTTTTAACATCAATCATCAATTGTTCACCCCACTCATCTATACATTCACATTTGCCCCAATTTCATCAGGTCAGATAGGTGGATTGAATGGTGGAAAACAGTTAAAAACAGTATATAGTTATTTTAGCAATACAAAATGCATTAGGCCTGAAATGATATAAATTATTGATTAGACATTAATTAATATGACAAGATTATGATCAACTTTCAATGCCATCAGATGGCTCAGATTTTAAGTAGATTAGAAGGGTTCAGCCATTTAATGTTTTGATTTAAAAATGGATAATCAACAATGGTAGCAATGACAATCGAGGCTACACTGTTCTTCTAATGGCAATAACTCGGCTCAGAGTGAAGTGATTTGACTGAAATATTCAACATATTCCCTTTTCATTATCTATTTTTTTTAACTATTTCAGCGGGAACTGTCAGCTCTTTATCTAATCTTAAATTATTCCCCTTTAATTAGCTGTACAAAGTACAGTGTTAGCAATACAAAACTGTAATAGACCTATCCACACATAGTCTTGTCCTAATGCTTCCTAAATTTGTTTCTATAGCATGAGCATGATCCATACCGACTCAGTCATTAACATGGGCTAGACCTCTTTGATCCTGGTCAAAAATAGAATTGTTCATTTCATTGGATTTTATGGGTTGATTTGTATGGTGGGATGATAATCCGTATTTGTTCAAACAAAATTTACATTCATCGATCAAGTCAGTGTTAAGATATAGATAATTGTATGTTAGCAAACTAATATCATTTTATTTGTTGAAACAAATATAGCCTAAATTTTACCCACTCCAACATAGCTGTTGTAAATTTTCAATTGGTTTCTTTTGCTTCGGTTCCTGAATAAATAATGTAGATTGATGCTGTAATTCAGTGCTAGGGAATCCAGTCCCCCAACCACAGAACTATGATTGTTAACATCTTTCTCTCTCTTTGTGAGAATTATATTTTGTATCTACTTAAATATATCCAGCTATAACATACTAATTGTTTTTAGAAAACTTGACTCCAATTATTATTAAATTAGATTTCTTTCTAATAGAGTTTGGGGGACAGATATAACCTATGTGGGCACCTCGCCATCACTTCTTTTTTATGGAGTTCACATGGTTAACATTCTATTTTAATTTTGTATATTTAAAACATATCCTTTTTTTTCAGATGGTCCGTTTTGTTTTTGCCCAAATGCTAACAATAATACATATTGGTGTTTACGTACAGTCAACGAGACACATGATTTTTTGTTCTGTGAATTTATTACCCGTTTCCAGAGTTTTTATGATATGAAAAAAGACCCATATCAGGTAGGGAATATCAAGATACTTTTATTGCAATCAGCTTACCAAACAAATTTTATTTTGAAAGCAAAGGAATTTCTTATCTAGCACAGCAACATGCATAAAATGTTGGGGTTTTTTTTTCAAGGACTCTATGATTTGACACCTGTGTAGAGTTAGGGACACATGTTTAAATGGCTAGCCACTTTTGTGTTTCCTACGTGTTGGTCGTAATGCCGGCCCCATAGCATTCTTAGTCTCCATTTAAAGATAAAGCACCCACAGTGTACTTGTAAAATAACCTATGTTAGATGGAATTCAAAATAAACGTTGGCAGAAAACCTGTTGTTAGTGTTTGTTTCCCTCTTCTTTCCTGACCATATGTTACTCTCAGAAGTATTATTATTTGACATTAAACACCATTCTTTTCGGGAGCCACAGTGGCTTAGTGATTATGGCACAGCTTACTAACTAAGAGGTCCCCTGTTCTATCCTGGTGTGTATTCCACCTGTCCATGCAGCATTTCATTTTATTTCCATTCCCTTCCTTCTCACTCAACTCTAAAAACAAAACTATTTTTGTTTTCAAGTTAAAGAATCAGATTCGTCTATTAGATGTTGGCATTCGAGAACAGCTAGAAGAAGATCTGGAAACGATCAAAAGTTGTCGTGGTAATGATGATTGTCACATGCGAGCTGGAATAAGTAAGTTACAGTTACCAGTCTCAATCCTTTTAAGAGTTTTATAAAATTGATTTAAATGTAATTAAAAAATAATTATGAAAAATTTAGTTTGTAACCATAACTAAAATTCATAAACCTATTGGATTCCTTATGGCAAAAGAACTGAAAGTCAAATTTGTCACAAAATTGCACACAATCAGTTTTAATCATGTCCAACTTGACTATGTAGTTTGATCAACTCAAATATAACAAAAATAATCCCAAAAATGAGAGCACCTGTTTGATTTCTGCATAATTGTGAAAAGGTGTGTGCTTCTATATGCTTGCTATAGAAAATGATATATATGTGTGGGGCCTACCTTTTTACCCTACAATATAATCCAGTACTTTAGCACTTCATATCTCTTAATATATCTTAATATTTATTATCTTGTTTCTTACAGCCTCATTAGAAAGTAAACAAAATAGTTTTCAACCATCTGGAGATGGAGCTTTAAATCGTGATGAAGAAGATTAGTCATGTGATCAAATTCTTTGATTTCATTGGTTGTTGATATATATATCTATACGGTTATTTATCTTATAAAGTCATATAAACTAGAATTTGTATTGATGTCCATCTTCACAATGTCAGAATATTATGATATCTTGCTGACGCCTCACAGGATTAGCCGATTTTCACACCCCAGATATGAAATTGTCCTTCTTTGTGCATATCACCGTAAACAATACTAATCATTAAACGTACGCAACCCAAGGCTATTTTGTGTTTCTGTCCTCTTTATTCTATGTTTTGTTTGTGTGAAAATTATTGAAAGTTTGCTAATTTCGTAAATTGGCTAATACATTCATGTTTTCAGACTGTGTTATATACCTGTAGACTGTGAAGATGATCAAATTCACAAGTCTAATAGATTTAAAGTACCTTGACATCGTTAAGATGAAAGAAAACCTTTCCTATTAAACTTAAAATTGAAATTGTCTAGGCCAGTAGTTGTAAATATTTTTTTTAAAATTTAAATTCTCTGATATTTTTAAAATGATACATTGGTGCTGTGATGATATAATTATTGTTTCATAATCTACTTTGAAACATATCATCCACATTTTTACCAACATCAGGGTTTATAAGCTGGTGCTAATTTTAGCATTTACATTGACAAATAACTCACTAGGCCAACGCTGGGGTTTTATGGGCAGGATTATTTGATTGTTCAAATTTTGTCAATGGTTCACTGTATAAAATGTATTATTTTGGAGGTTTAATTATTGTACCAGGGCCATTTACAATACATAAGACTTCAGGGGCGTGGGCAGAAAAATGAGCAGTATGGTGGGGGCTGTTCCGGCGTGGATGACCGCAGAGCCTTGGGAGGGTTATGGGGTTCTCCCCCTACAAAATTTTGAAAGTTTGATGTCGATTTCCTTACATAAGAGGCCATTTGTGAACAAATTTACTCTTTTAAATGTGTAGGCTCTCTCCTAGACTCTCTCCTGTATAGCCCCTGCCCCGCCCAACCTACACCCCACCTTGGACACGTGCCTGGACATCTTTTGAGAAAATACTGATAGGGAGGTGATCTTGCACTATTGTCAAAATTAAGAACCTCTCTTGATAAACTTTCAGAGAGGTATACCTGTGCAATTAATAATACTAAAATCCTCTTCCAAAAAGCAACTGATAGAGAGATCTTTGGATGTTCATCAAAGTAACAATTCTGCTGTCTGAACTTTATCTTTAACTTAATATAAATTATCTATTTTTGAAATATATTTTATTTATTAGCATCACTGCCTGCCAACTTGCTTTCTTGTACTTAGTATCTAACTACAAGAAAATCAAAGTAAGTTGTTTTTTCATCCATTTATTCAACCCTATTATTTCCAAAGTGTGTAATTAACATGTTTTTATGTTCTACACATTATCATTTAAATATTAATTTTGTTGAGTAAATTGGAATAGATTGTAAAATTATGTTGTTTATTGAGAAACAAATACATGTAGATTGTAATATACCTTTTAGTTGTATGTTTAGAATAGCGTATGTATTTCTGTACAGAAGATACTTATATAGTGTATATTTGTTGTATATAGTTGTCTGTATTATATTCAGCTTTTTCTGAGAATCTGATATAACAAAGTTTTAACTTAATTCTTTTTGGAGAAAATTTTGAAAATATGTTTTTAGTTTGAGGGCATTAATGAGTTGTGTAACTTGCATTTTATTTTATTTTCATAGTAATGCTGTCTTGTATCTTACTATTCTTAATATGCAAGTGAACTAGCTAAGTAGTAGGAGGGTCTTTCAGGAAATGAGAATGTCCATCAGAAAAGTTTTACTCTGTGTGACCCAAGGACACAAAAGATAATAAACACCATAAATGTGTTGTATTTTATTCTGAATTGAAATCCTAGCTATCCCACAGATAATTATTTATTTTATTGTCTGTCACTTGCTATACATGTATTTTATTTTATAAAATTTTTTAGTCAAGCATTCTGTTTATACCATGATTTATTTATGGTTTCGGTCTAAAAAAAAGGGCTGAAATCAGTTATATTCTTTGAATGGCATTTAGTAATCTGAACATAATCGAATAACACACTATTTATGGATAACAATTACTATGGTTTATTTTACTGCGATGTTTCAACAAGATTGAAAATGACTTATGAAATCTTGTTGAAACGTCGCAGTGAAATAAACCATAGTAATTGTTATCCATAAATAGTGTGTTATTCGCTGAAATCAGTTGATCCGATGTGTTATTCCAATTAGTGGTGACCTAGGCTCTATGTGGTTATATTAACTTGAATTAAAAGACCTAAGCAGAAGTCAGTGTTTTGCTACAAATTAACGGTCGTGCCAATGGAGTTACATTTTAAGAGAATTAATTATAAACAAAATTGTGGACCTACAGACTTTTATATAACCATACCTTGTCTCCCAATAACACTTTCATCATTATGAGAAAGTGGACGTGACTTAATTAAAGAGCAGATGTTTTTTGAAACATTTTTTGCCATGCAAAATGCTGAAAATGGCAAAAATTTAAGTTTAATATTCACTTTTGGCGAAACTTAAAATACAGGTATGCGTCCCAAAGATATCGGTTCTGTTGTCGCATGTCGGACCGTAGCATCCTGGATTATGGCCCCTGATTGCACGAATAATCGCTTTTTAAGTTTGATCTCTCTTGTCTTGCAAAATGTGGGTGAATCTTGCATGACAACCGCTTGGTGTTTTTAGTTATAGTTTTTTTTATACGCCCACATGGAAGCATATGGTCCCATATTCATGTTTCGTTCACAGAATTTTACCCACTGAATCAATTGAGAGAATTTTTATACGCCCACAGACGTCTGATCTTCTGAAAGTCAATCTAGAGTTCACAATTTTTATCCCATTTTGATGAAAGTTTAAATACACTGTATATGTTTATGTCCCACATATTTCGGATTTGTTCGATTTTAGTGTGCTTCGGACCGCAACTTGTTTGGTTATGACCTCCTACATTTTACGCGTAATTGTGAAATATGTACGATCGTTGTGGACCCTTTTGTTCAGATTCAGATGGAAATTACAATGTTAGTCTGCATCAGACCTCAACTTCTTGGATTATGGCTTCTGTCTTTTACGCAAAATGCAAATTATGTACAGAATCTGTGGGCCCCAAAGCCCACAATTATTGATGAAACTCAACAAACATTATAAGGATCAAAATATCTTGGTGGAGTTCGATTTTTATGCGCATCGGGTCTTCCGTTCTGAAATGATGGACTGTGCCTCAAAGTCGACCATCTCAAAATGTCTTGGCGCTTTTCAATTTTGATGCGCATCGGACCTTTCGTTTTGGAGTGTTTTACTTTGCCTTTTACGCAAAATGTGAACTGTACAACCTTTGTGAACCCTCTAGCGCCCTTGATTATGTCCGATGTAGATGAAACTTAAAATATTTGTTAAAGGGCAATTATTTGGCGTGACTGTAACGTAATATATGAAATTTCGTTGCCTAAAAGTTGACCATCTTGAAAATGGCCGCCATCTTGGATTTTCGAATGGCCAATGTGATTTTTCAAAAATGAAATGAAATGAAATGGGGTTTAACGTCCTACTGTTCTGCTCCTAAACTGGGCTAATGAAGACAGGCATATACACCATACAGTGTGCTATAAAGGAAATTTTGCCCGGGCAGCGGTGCTACGGCCTACTCTTATATTAAATTCCAACTGCCAAGGGATCTTTTAAGTGCGTGCCAATGTGTACACGGAACCTCGGTTTTCGTCCCATCCGAACGACTAGACAGCTGTCCTTGTCAGGCCCTCCGTCCTGCATCACTGACAAGGGGAAACCACGCGGGAAAATCTGGATGAACTTTCTCGGCCAATGGAGGGATCGAACACCCGACCTCCAGGCTAGCGAGCCAGCGTCTTACCCACTTAGCCACGTGATCCCCTGATTTTTCAAAAGAGTAGTACTCAAAGGGTATCTGTGCCAATATTGATACTTGTATCCATGTTTGAATGATTTCCCTGTTTTTATGCCGGAAGCTGCTAAACGTTTGATAAAGAGTAACATGCAAAATTGGTGGACAAAATTCTTAAATTGGATCCTACATTATATTTACATTTTATAATACCCACCCTTCTGACTTTCTCATTCATAGGCTGGCCAAATACAACTACCGCATTGTTATTCTTTACAAATACAACTATGTGTTAAAGAAGCATTATCTGCATAATGCAGATCTTTCTTTACGCCTCAAATGTTACCTAAATCATTAATTAGACATTTATTCACATACGAATCCCATGATCTACGCTCTAGAGCATCGGGTGCTTTTGATTTCAACGGATTTAAATACGATTGTTAGTTAATGATTATATTTAAAAATTATATTATCGTTAATCGAGACTTTGTTTATAATCGTAACAGTAATAATGACACCCGAGACCACACTGTTCTTCTGACGACAATAACAGATCGGCTCAGAATAAGTGGTTTGGCTGAAATTTTCAACACATTCCCCTTTATATCTATACGCCCACATGGAAATGTGGCTACATTTATCATCTGATTGTTTTCCAATTTATATGTTGTTTACATTAGTGAGACGAAGAATCGTATTTAATTTGAATCATTTCCGTTAATTTTTTCTGGAGTTATGACCCCTGTTTCACTTTATTGCCACTTGTGAACGCTCTCACGACAAAAAATGTCATCATATCTGTATGAAATTTATATGAATACTTTAAATTATTTAAATGAAGAAGTCTATTGAATTTCAGTAATTTCCGTTATTTAAGTCTAGAGTTATGGCCATTGTTTCACTCTGTCAAACCCCGTGAAAGCATAACGACAAAAGTATGAAATTTGTATGCATCATTTGAATTCCAGCAATTTCCGTTAATTACGTCTAGAATATGACCCTTGTGTCACTTTGTCCACAGGAGTTTGACCTTCTATCCGTATATATATGCATACACCATGTCCAACCAGACAATATATTCTTTTTTTTATATTGTTTGGTTGGATATGGTGTATGCATATATATATACGGATAGAAGGTCAGACTCCTGTGCTTTGTCCAACCTTGTGAATGTTCTAACGAGATAAGTTATCACCCGATCTGTACGACAAAAAGTCATCATCTGATCTGTATGAAATTTATATGTATTGTTTAGATTAGTAAAACGAAAAAGGCTGTCGAATTTCAACAATTGTTGTTTATTATTTCCAGAGTTAAGGACCTTGTTTCAGTTGTAGCACCTTGTTAACCCTCAAAACACGAACCTTGGGCTTAACCGTCAAATGTACTTGATAGTGCTCATATTCTGGTTGAATCTCTCTCTCTTAAAACTGAATGAATGGGTTGAAACAATAGGACCAATGTGAGAGCGACACAAAGAAACCCCTTCCATTCTCCAGGAGGTTGACCAAGAGAGGTTTAATATGATGACATTTGTTTGTGTCTTCAACAACCTCCCCAAGACCATTCCAGTGATCGTATATGAAATGTTTGATGATTTAGTTATGGGAAGATCTGAAGCTAAATCTACTTTACCTTTCATATATCTACATGTATACATTACTGGGAACCAACAACCAAAAGTGTTAACGAATGTTTCAAGACTACTGAAAATGTCACCTCGTTTCTGCACACACACACACAACATAAATGTCATGATTTAAATTAGCTACGACGAAGTATTGTAAATGAAATGTGGAATAACGGCCTGTTTTTCAGCCCAATCCGAGCTAACGAAGGCGGACATACGCCTAGCCGACGCCTAGCCGTGTGCTATGGGTTTAGATTCCGGCAATGTATCAATTATTTCTTTTATCTTAAATTTAGTAATACGAGTTTGCCCATTTGAGATATTCCGTAATCAAATGTAAACCTATATCAACTGTTGTTAATGCAGGCGCGAAAGATTAAAATATAATTATTACTTTAATAAGTTTTTCTTTATATATGAAGGACAAACTACATCCATGTAAAGTTTCAAAAAAGTTAATTCCACCTGTTAGGACCAGTGGCGGCGCCAGGGGGGGGGGGGAACTTGCATGTTGTAGAGCATTTCCGACAGTCTATTTTCAAATTTTTCTGGGCGAGGTACCCAATGGACTCGCTACTTTGGCGCTCACAAGGGGAATTCGTTGAGGTTCGCAAGTCCGTTCGTTTGACATTTTGTGCTCTAGTCGGATAAACTAGTGATCAGGCGACGTACGTATCTGGTCAGATCTATTTATCTCGACGATCGGTGCCTGGGAATACTGCAAGACAGCATTTCCGGCAGTCTATTTTTCAAAATTTTCTGGTGGAGGACTCCCTACTTTGACGCTCGTGAGTGGGCTTCGTCGTGATTCGCAAGTCTATTCGTTTGACACTTTACCTCATCGATCAGTGCCTGAAATACTGCCAGGCTGCATTTCCGGCAACCTGTTTTTCAAAATTTTCCGGGGGAGGCCCCTACCCCTAGTTGAAGCTCGTGCCTTTGCCCCCTTAACCTTGGACTTTGCCACAGCTTTGCCCCTCCAATCACCGACGGCTGGCGCCGCCACTGGTTAGGACAAACGGCACAAGCAGGCTACTGATTTTATATATTTTACATTTTTATAAACCTCGGAAGGTTCAATCAACATAAACCCCATCGTAAACAATATAATGTATGTATCCATCCTCAAAGAGAGAGAGAGAAATGGGGTTTAACGTCCACTCGACACAAACTAGGTCATTTCGGGACTAAAATATGGTTTAATTTTATTTACATAATTCGCTTGCGCGTAGGGGTCTTTAGCAGTGGGAGGAAACCGGAGGACCCGGAGAAAACCCACGTTGTTGGACAGGCGACCCTACTCCTTGTCACGTACAACCGGGGATTTGAAACCACACCAGTCGACTCAATGACAGACTTTATGATACATCGCGCGCACGCTAACCATTCAGCCATCCAACCCCCCATCCTCAAAGAACTAAGACACTTAAATTGACTCACTCGGTCAATTGTCTCTCTTTTCTGACATATCTTTGTAGGAAATATTAAAGTGTTTCTCCATCTATAAGAACTCATAATTTTAATGTAATGTGCAACAATTTGCACTTTCGTGTGCACCCATCCCTCTTTTGGAAAAATTCTGATTAATGCAACCGTTTCCTCACGACTTCCACTTTCAGTTTCATTTTCGTTATTTCGTAGAAATCAACTAGCCAACAATAAACTATCTAACAATTAGCCAGCCGACGATAACTATCCAACAGTAGGCCTAAGCCAGCCAACATTAAGCAATCCAACAAAAACCGACAATCAAGTTACCAACACAAAGGAAATTCGCAGAACGATCGTGTGGTGTTCTATTTCGATCCCGGCCTACACGAAGAGCACGCGCGACGCACAAAGCGATTTTGATTTTCTTAAACAGAAATCTCCTTAAACATGCGTACCGTACATCATTAAAAACATACATTATGCAAGAGCTAAATCTGATTATTGTAAGTCTTTATTTAGGCTTCAGATGTCATAGAAATTATAAATTAGATCTTTATTTACACAACAAGCACAAAATCAACTCTGTAGACCCACGGATGGCTTGGATTCGGCTTGGATTTAAACAGGATTTCGTTGATTGATTAAATTTTTTAATGGCGTCGTAAGCGGAGATTAACCGTTACGTTGACGTCATACTCCCGGAAATAATTTTAGATCGAGGCTAAATGATAGATTGTACGAAGCGAGGCCGCTGTTGAGCGAGGCCGCATGTCAGTCAATTTGATTGAAAGTTCGATATATACGGCCTTGATATTATGTTTAGTTGTGGTTAAAATGAGAGTTTGAATGTCGGTATTATACGCTCTTTTGTCACTTGCGTTTACAGAAAAATTATAGAAATTGATAATCATCGCAGCTAACATCACCCCAGTTGAATTGCAGCTCCATTGGATCACTGTTCGTGAGTTACGTAGACCTACCAGTTACAGTACAAGAGTACACGCAGGCTAACAAGAAGTCGGCTATAATTATGCCTCATTGATTTGGTCCATTCCTTTCAAACTTTAGCTTCTTATCTATATATTAAAAGTCTTATTTTTAATTTGTAGTAAAAATAAATGTGATACGAATTGAATTGCAACCCCGTCTCAAACCACAGCCATTGAAAACGTTACTTGATAATCGAGATTATGTAGGTGGAGTTAACGCCTGTCAATCAAACGATCGGAGACGGTGAAGAGAGATTTGACTCCTATTTCTAGTCAAAAATTACAATAGTGATAACTTTGTTCAGAATAAAGTAATTTGACTGAAATTTTCAATATATTCTTCTTTCATCATATATTTTTGAACTGTTATAGCAAGAATGGCCAACTCTCTATTAAAATATCCCATAATGTATCTTTAATATAAATCAATTTTAAAAATGCGACGTCGTGTTATAAAAAGCGGCGGCGACTCTCTTGCCCATAGCTTAACACTGAAAACAATACGCCGTCAATTAAATACGCATTATGTAAGAACTAAATTGGGATATTTAACTCAATATCTTTCACGGTCTTCGGCATTGCAAACAAAAATTAATGGTCAATTTAAATCGGCATTGGTGTTGTTATCTTACAGTGAACAATTGGGCTTCTGATATCCAATGTTTAAGACAAAATGAAAATTTTAAAATTGGCAAAGAATCGCGTGCTAGAATGCTTTCGGAGTGCCATTTGTATGAAGTGACTAGATGAACGAGGCAAATCATATCCAATGTCGGAGAATACTACCAGTGTAGACTGGAAATAACCATACGCCAAAGACTGTCATTCAATTGGGAAATCTCGCGTATTTCGTCGAACATAACCGATTAGAAATTACAGTAAAAACAGAAACGATTGAATGTAATTATGATATGCGTAGAGACTTATTTGTGTCAAAGAATAGTGATTTAGCTCCTTTAATACGAATTTCCAGTTTTCGTGTAATGCATCACCGGAAAGTTTTTCTCTATCGCTCTTTGAATATACGAGTATTAGTTCCTGGCATATTCATGGTAATTAGAAGAGAAAAAATCCCTTTTTTTTGTTCAAAGAAATATGTCGCCATAAAAATAACCTAATTACTAAAAATAGGCTACTTTCAATTTATCTTATTTAATGCCAGATTGAATAAACCCATACAGTTATTTATATTTAATTCAAATTGATTAACCATATCACGCACGTTATTTCACTAAAGAAACGAGTATCGTGCGATTTTTCTTATTGTATGCTTGTTCGATTAACCATTATGGTATAAACGTGGTTTATTGTATGCCCGGTTAATTTCCGCTCATGTAGTCATAATGTTCCGGGTTGATCATTTTCGAGAAATGTTTCGCAAGACTAGTATTTGGAGATTTCTATTAGGACATCTGTTGTTCGAGATTTGTATTTCGTTGTACATATATATGTGTGTTTCTGATGATTTTCATCAATAAATATTATATTTATATTAAAATACAATAAATCAAACAAAATACAGTTTACAAATCTGATATGACAGAAATCCGATTTGTAAAACAAATATCGATACAAATTGTAATCTTAGTGTACAAATACGACAACAAATGAATAAAGGGGAATTAATGATTATGAAATAAGAAGAGCTGTGTGATCTATAATAAATTACTGTATTCACATATCAATCATCATATTTCGTGGCAGTCACTTATCTCTTATGCCTGGCTATCTCTAATTATTCGCGCTTATTGTTTTCTAGCTATTGTTTGCCAGCTTGACGGTCGTTTATCGTCGGGTGGCTTATTGTTAGCTAGGTTGATTTTGGCGAATAAGATCACGTGTATTAAAAAGATTGTAGTTACTTATATAGGCCAGGTACTATATATCTCATAGTTTCGTTACTAAAGTACATGTAACTAAAAAGATGGATGATTGTCTACCAGAATATAACCGAAATGAAAGACTTGAAGTATTTATAGATAGAGTACTATATAGTACGGCCACCTCGTGATTTTATCCGACGAATGAATGAAGCGGTCAAATGGGTGGTTTTACATTTGCATAACTACAATTCGTGGCGATTTCGGTACGGGTATCCTTGTCACAAGGTACAAAAAGTTGTTAAGGTAATCCATAAAGGGTTTAATATTTGATTTTAACACGCCAACATTTTCATGTAGACGTATGTCGTCGCCCCTGTCCGACCGTCCGTCAACAATTGTTTGTGAACACTCTATAGGTCACAATTTTTATCCGATTTCAATGAAACTTGAAATATAGATTTATCACCCTAAGATCTCGGTTCCTGTTGATATTGGCATGCATCGGACTGTAACTACATGGATTGTGGCCCCTAATTGTACGAGAAATCACGTTTTTAGCTTGTGAACATTGTAGAGGTCACATTTTTTTTATTCGATTTAAACTTGAAATGTATGTTTATAACCCACAGATCTCGATTCCTTTCGATATTCGCGCATATCGGACCATATCTTCCTGAATTATGGCCCCTGATTGTACGACAAATCGCATTTTTAGCTTGTGGACCATATAGAGGTCACAATTTTTATCCGATTTAAACAAAAACGTTTGAATATATATCACCGTTACACCCTAAGAATTGTTGAGTTCGGACGGAAACTGACGGACAAAATGGCCGCCCCTCGTTCGCAAATAATGTCAAAATATTGTGTATCAAGGTTGTGGACCCTCTGGAGGTAACAATATTCATCTGATTTTGATGAAACTTGAAATGCATGTTTATAACCCAAATATCTTGGTTCCTTTCCATTTTCAAACATATCGAATCGTAACTTCCAGAATTATGGCCCCTGATTTTACGAATAAACACGTTTTTAGCTTGTCGTTCCTTTAGATGTCTCAATTATTATTCGATTTAAAAAAAAAACGTTCGAATATGTCACTGTGGACATATGTTATGCAAGATCATTTTCGACGTTCCAAAGTAAAAGTTTAGTGCTAAGACCACCTAAAGATAAATTTTAAATGTTCCTATTATTAGTTAGAACAGGTTTCACTTTAGTTTTTATATTTTACGCCAACATTTATTACTTTAAATCTTCCTAGTGCTAAAACGGAAAATGTGACCTTTTGACCTCTGGGGTCACAAAGAACAAAGGTGAATTTAGTAAGTTTACATCTTTATTGAAAGTGTGATTACTTTCGATCATTTTCAGCTTATTTTCATGATACAAAAATGACCGCGCATTCACTTTCAGTGCAAATGAACCCATTTGACCTTTGACCCCGAATATCTCGAAAACGCCCCAACGGCAGACTGCTTACCACCCCTAGGGATCGTATTCTACGCAAAATTTTACTCTACTGTGTGAACCATGGTAAATTTAAAACGGATTTCTTCGATTATGAACAAACTACTTAACTTTGGTTCTTATAAATTAAACTTACATGTGTGTTTGAAATCAACTCCCGTTAAATAAAATCCACTGCACAACTAATTATCCCAACGAATAAAAAAGTTCTCTCTTGAAAAATTGAATTCCCACAAACTTTGACACAGAAAAATACCAATATAGAAGCTGATTACGTCACTCTCCGGGAGATATCATTTCGTATAAGGGGTGACAGAATAGCAAATCGGCACTTTTACGACAATTCAAGTTTGGTTTAAGAAAAAGCTACAGTACAAATCTCGGCTCGGCATTGAGTTTGGGCGTTCACACACATATAACTGTCCGTATTCTTTTATTTTGTTGCCGACTTTTACATTCTAGTAAAATCTCTGCAAATTTTTATAACTGTACATCTTTTGAAATATTTTATTTTAATTATTTGATTAGCTACTCAGATGAGATAATTTTCTTTTGAAAATTGAGATCGCGTCATGTCTCGAGCGAGCGGCAGAGAATCCAACCAACATGACTACACGGTCCATATACTGAGCGCCATTGAAAACGCATCACTTTTTTTCCCAAATATTTTATTACTAGGTGGTTTTGTATGTATAATATTATGCAATACTATGAACTATTGTTTCACTCAATGCTAACACACGCAAAAAATATCGGCCCGTGTACACAAAAAAAATTGAACGCGATGCACTTGAAAAACCCAATATTCACGTGCAGCATTGTGTTTGAGCCCTCTAAAAGCATGTTTTCAACTTAATGTGCAGTACATGAACTGTGAAACGTCAATCTGTCAAAATTTGTTGTTGGACGTGTGAAGGAATCGAGCTATAGATGCCGAGACTTACTGAAAATCAACGGAATGAAGCCATGGGAATGTCCCGGGCTGGCATGTCTACACGTGCTATTGCCAGACACTTCAATTGTCATCAGTCCACTATTGTAAGGTTGGTGGAACGTGTTCGAGTTACTGGATCAACACTTGACCGTCAATGTCCTGGTCCACAACGCGTTACAACCCAGGCTCAAGACCGCTACATCCGGGTCACTCATCTGCGTGACAGATTCCGCCCAGCGACTCGAACAGGTGCAGCAGTCGTCGGAAGACAAGGACCAGTAAGTGCCAACACCGTAAGACGTCGTCTAAGAGAAGTAGGACTCCGTGCACGACGACCTTATGTTGGAGCTATCCTCAGGGATCATCACCGTCAGCGTCGTTTGATATGGGCTCAAGGACACCAGACATGGAGAAGAGTAGACTGGCAAAGTGTGCTCTTCAGTGATGAGAGTCGCTTTCATCTTTATCACGCTGATGGCCGTCAACGTGTGTGGAGAGGTCTTGGGGAACGTCTTGCAGACTGCTGCGTCTTCGAAACGAATCAATGGGGTGGGGGAAGTGTAATGGTGTGGGGAGGCTTCACATTTCATCACCGGACCGCCCTACATATTTGCAGGGGTCGCGTTAATGCTGTTGCCTACCGTGATGATGTCTTGCAACCAATTGTCGTTCCGATGTTTCGAGCGCACCCATAACTTCAGCACTTCCAACAGGATAATGCACGTCCGCATACCGCCCGTTTTAGTATGGACTACCGGGCTGCTAACAACATCAATGTCTTGGACTGGCAGACATGGACATGGCACCGATAGAACATGTCTGGGATGAGATTGGATGCCGTCTGTATCGGAGACCATAGATGCACACCATTGCTGCTTTAGAAGCTGCTCTTGTCCAAGAATGGAACAATTTGGCCCAGGCCTTCTTTCAAACATTGGTTAATTCCATGCGACGTCGCTGCACAGCGTGCGTAAGAGCCCGTGGAGGACACACGCGCTTCTGACATCTGTGTCGTACTTTTGGTTTTGACCCCTCTGACTTTGTACCGTTGATTACAGATTAAACATCCATAAGTGTACAAATGTGTTGTTTACTTGTTATTGATGTGTTCCCATTTGAATATTGTTCACAATAAGAAGCGAAATAAATAAGATATGTTTACAGGATCATTTTGTTATACGAAAAACTAAGTGATGCGTTTTCCATGGCGCTCAGTATAAATCTTCAGTTGATATTTTCCGTCGCCCAGCTTCAAACGATCGTAATGATCGCGCTTTGTTTTCATTGCAACACGTGGTTATCAAACTATCTGTCAAAATTAAACGGCCCCCCCTCAATAGCTGCAATGGGGTCGCCCAACACGTAACGAAATCATTGTTGTCGTCTACTCAGTCGAAAATACAAGTAAATAGTCAAATTTGTCAAGAGAGAACTTTTTCATACGTTGGGATAATTAGTTGTGCAATGGATTTTATTGGACGGGAGTTGATTTAAAACACACAGGTAAGTTTATAAAAACGAAATTTAAGAAGTTTGTTCATAATCGAAGAAATGCGTTTAAAATTTACGATGGTTCACACAGTAGAAAAGTTGGGTCTGGTTTTGTGACCATTTGATGGACCCCCCCCCTCCGCGCTGAGCCTCCAGACTACTAGAGGTCACAATTATTATCCGATTTAAAAAAAACGTTCGAATATATCACCGTTACACCGTAATGTTTGTTGAGTTCGAATTTGGTGAATATCGGGACAAAACTGCCGGACAAAATGGCCGCCCCTCGTACGCAAATAGTGTACTGTGTAAACCTCTGGTAAATCAAGGTTGTGGACCCTCTAGAATCACAATTTTGATCTGATTTCGATGAAACTTAAAATACATGTTTATAACCCAAAGATATTGGTTCCTGTAGATATTCACGCATATCGGGATCGTACCTTTCTGAATTATGGCCCTTGATTGAACAAAAAGTTACGTTTTCAGCTTGTGGTCCCTGTAGAGGTCACAATTTTTATCCGATTTAAAAAATAAACGTGTGAATATATCACCATCAGATCTTGGTTCCTTTTGATAATCGCGGATACCCGAACTTATCCTCCTGGATTATGGCCCCTGATTGTTCAAAAAATCGCATTTTTAGCTTGTGGGTTCTCTAGAGGTCACAATTTTTTTCCGATTTTAAAAACCATTTAAATACATCACCATTCCACCATAATGAAGGTTGAATTCGACTTTCGGGAAAATCGGAATGAAACTGCCTGACAAATTGGCCGCTCTTTGTACGCAAATTGTGTAGAAGTGTGTGGACCCTCTAGAGGTCACAATTTTTATCTTTATATCCCAAAGATCCCAGTCTCTTTTGATATTTGCACAGTTCAGGCCATAACTTTCTGGATTATTGCCCCTGATTGTACAAAAAACGTGTTTGTTTTTAGCTTGTTCTGTATGCATCTCTTGCAAATAGTGGGCGTATCCTGCCTGGCAGCCGCTGGTTCTGCATAAAATGGGCTATCGGTAATGAGACAGACATCGTGCAGTGTGCTACGAGTGACATTTTATCGTAACAGCGGTGCTATAGCCTACTCTTATTTCGAAATCCAACTACAAGGATTCCTTTACGTGCACGCCAAGCTGTATACAGTGCGTCGGATTTTTGTACTATCCAAACAACTGAACACTTCCTTTTCCGCGCGTGAAAGTCCCTCGGACCTTTTTTGGATACCACCTAAACTCCAGTTAGTAAGCCAGCTGAAAGGTGAGCCACCGTGGCTCCCCAATAGAGCAAGGAAGAACGGGTGGAAGGGGCCAATTTCAATGCCAAATAAGTTCCCCCGCCACACCCTTGAGTTCCTTTGGTGCGATATAAAAAAAATCAGTATGCAATTTAGTTCAAAACTGGCCCATCCATGTAAACAATAGGTTATTTAGATGGTGCGGTATGAGCGCCAATTTTTAGTAAGGTGCAGCACTGTAAAAATGGTGTTTTAACAGAACAGTTAATGTTATTTTACCACATTTTAGATGTTTGGAGTGTATATTTTGTTGTGATTTTCCATTTGTATATTGGGTATGAGTGTGGGGTTGGGTGAGGGGTGTAGAGTAAATGACATAATAAAATAAATATTTATTAGCGATTTATTGTAGTCGCTGTTGTTTTCCAGAGTGGATCTTTGGGAAAGGGAACATCAATACAAACCAATGCTGATGCTGATCTTTTTATTTTCTTCAATGATTTTAAGACTATAGAGAGTTTGATAGAGGCTAAACCAGATCTTCTTGAAAATATTAAAAAGTATATGATGCGTACTGACGAACAACCAGAGTGGATGAGATCAATAAAATTTATACGGAAAACAGATTTTCATGTTGAATTCAAGATCGACATCATAGACCTTGGATCTGTGGATGTTGATATTGTACCAGCTATGGATGTTATTTCTCAACATGGTAAGATTCATTTGTAACCACCCGGCAGTCGCGGTGGCTTAGTGAGTAAGATGCTTGCTTTCTGACCAGAAAGTCTCGGGTTTGGTCCCGGTGTTGGCCGAAAAGTCCCTTGGAGTTTTCCGGCGCGGTTTCCTCTTGTTAGTTGTGCAGAATGGGGTCTGGCAGTGACAAGGAACACTGTCTAGTCGTTCGGAGGGGACGATAATCGGGGTCCCCTGTACACATTAGCGTGCATATTAAGAATTCGATACAAGAGTAGGTCGTAGTGCCGCCGTCCGAGCACAATTTCCCTCATAGCACACTGTATGACATATGCCCGTCTTCATTAGCCCAGTCGATGTAGAAAAGTAGGACGTTAAACCCAAGTCCATATTATTTAACAACAGTCCTATAAAAAGTATCGGGGGTTGGATGTCCGAATGGTTAGCACGTGCACGCTGCATCATAAGGTCTGTCATGGAGTCAACTGACTTGGTTTCGATTCTCCGGTTGTACGTGACAAGGAGTAGGGTCGCCTGTCCAACCTCGTGGGTTTTCTCCGGGTCTTCTGGTTTCCGCCCACTGCTAAAAACCACTACGCGCAAGCGAATTCTAGAAATAAAAAATATTAACCGATACGTTAGTCCCGAAATGACCTAGTTTGTGTCGATTGGACTTAAATTTTATGGGCTGTTGAGCGCATAATTGCATGGATGACGAAGCTGCTGGTGGGTGTATGTTTCTTTGTCTGGCAACCTTTGTTTTTTCCTAATTTAAGATGATATGAATTCTCTGTACGATGAGATGATGTCGAAAGACAATCCAGATATCAGAGATCATTATTCAGCATGCCTTTGTGAAAAACAAATCAAATTAATTGGTGTAAAGCCAGCTAAAGTTAAAGACCTTATACGTTTGTTGAAATATTGGTACAAGGTAAATACTAGATTTTACAGAAATTTAATGACGTTTTCTGGACATAGACCAAGATAAATATTGCAGTGGTACATTTTGTCGAATTCGTTACAAAAAATTAGAGGTTTTCCGGCGAAGTTGTGGTTTATTTCTTACACGCACTATTATTGTCTTAGACATCCGTCATCATCCGCGGCTTTTCTCACTTTCATCTTCTTCTTGTCGTGATGGTGGAGGAATCGGAGAGCCTCGTAATTGGAATAGCCTCGGGCATCGGGCACTGGTTTTAGGTTAGAGTAATTTTGATTGTGTCTTTTATATCATTTATTATTTTTTCCACTGCTTTTTGTTCCATTAAACAATGATATTTGTATTGACCGCTTAATAATTGTTCTGTCTTGCAGAGTAACAACCTCGACTTGAAATCATATTTCTGTGAAGTCATTGGTTTGCATGTTCATCAAAAATACTTGAACAACGTGAATAACTTTAAAATGAAGAAAGGGTTTGTCAAAGCACTTGAATTATTGGCTGACTTTAAGAATCTAACCATTATTCCAGATGGATTTAGTCAGTGGTAGGGTAATTGAATATTTAATTATATACTTACAAGAACTGGTATTGGCCTACATAACTCGGCCCAACAAATGGGAAAGTTGTTTACATTCCGCCTCTTAGTACCCTATCTGCTCGACTGCCGCGACCGCTTAAAACGATAGGTAACTCCGACAGTGTTTACGAGAATATATTATCGTCATCCGCCACAGACGATGTTAACCGATTATGGGCAAAACGGATGCAAACCTAAACCGGCCAAATTTCACTTTGGTCAATCGATTAAACATTTGATCAATACTTCTGTAAATATAAATCATTAGGGTCGTATTCATTTTTGGATTGATGTCCATTTTGGCTGTGGACATTTCACAATAATGCTATTTGCAAGGGAGACTGATATTCTTTGTGGAGTTAAGTTAGTGTTTTGTAATGGTGCCAGTAATTGTATGATTTACTTTAATCATTTAATTACAGGTTTAAATACGATGACTTGTCAATTATCTATGTTGTTGATTTGGTCAACCCGTTCTCAAATACAGTTCCCAGGAATGCGCAAAGAAAAATAGAAGATACTGCTAATAAAACGATACATCAAATTGCACAATTTGCGAGTAAAACACACGATAATGTTGTTAAAGTCTGTCCTGAATCAGCTAAATATGGTTATCTTCAGAATGAATGTGTAGACCTTACAGAATACGAGGTAAGCAATTTGTGCCATTTTGTGGTATTATTCATGAGAGAGGGGGTTGCGATATTATATAGTCGTCTCTTATGAGGTAAGTGTCTAATCCATGTGCCTTTGAATACCCAGCTCTAAATGGGTATCGGTATGATATATGGTGGTGGTGTCAGCCCATGGATTTTGCGTAATCTTTGTCCTATAACAAAGCCATAGGCTTATTTATTTTAATACACGGTTGCGTCCATTTACTGATTTAGATATGTTGCATTGACCGTACAGAATACTGGGGTTTCATTAGGATTTGTGAACCTGAAGTATATTCCTGCGTTAGTCCCAAAAACATTGTTAACAAATCGAACTGAATAAGCTTCAAAATGTCCTTGTAAGACTTAAAAAAAAAATCTCATTCCAAGTACATTGTCGTCACCTCTAGCATATAATTTGTACGATCGTTCTATGAACGAAACGAGTTGGTAGGTTTGACACAGTTGTTATATTTGTTGAAACAATTGATTGTTGTATACTGAACTATATTAATACACCCCGTCCTACAATCTGTCCGTCAATTCAAAATTTTGTGTGAACTCATTTGAGTTTACATTGTTCATCATGGAACTTGGTATGTGAGTTTATATCCCCGAGAACTAGTGCGCGTTCGAATTTCAACACTGGAAACCAGTTCTTGTTTGAAGGCTGCCATTACCGAAACCTGAAAGTTCCAAGTGGGCGTATCTGCCGCCCCTTGTCAGGGATGCAGGACGGACAGCCTGGTAAGGATAGAGTATAGCCGTTCGGGTGGTCATAGCGCCGCTGCCCGGGCAAACTTTCGTAGGACGTTTAACCCCATTTCATTTCATTTCGTATCTGCTGTGATCGCCGCTACTGTTGGTTGATAATACTTATTTTCTTTTAATTTCAGAACAATGGTTTTTCTTTTTGTAAATCACTAATTAGTCTTGTGATTATTTTTCTGATAGCATTGTTTGCTTTGTATTGGGCCAACTGTGATGTCGGCTACATTTGAGGATCACAGTTTACCAATGTAACCAATTGAGTAATCCATAAGATATTATCAGGTAAACAACCTATAAAGCCCAAAACTGTCCAACTATAGTCTCTTATGGTCAGCACTCTTTTAGTTTCCAAGCACGTGTTTTATAGAATAATCTACCATTTAGTTTAAGATGTTGTACATCTCTATATTCTTTTAAAAAAAATTCTTAAAATAAATTTATTTTATCGGGCTTTTAACTGACTCTGTAAACAACATGGCCACAATTGTGTTGTTTATTTGTGATTACATTTATGAACATGTTATATGAAAGGGCGCACAATAAATATGCTGTAATAATAATAATAATAAAATAATAACTGTGGGTATCCTACTAGAAACATCAACACTGATTGGTATAGATCTGTATGTTAATCAGATTGAAATAATTGGTAATCAGGTGATAAATTTAGCTGTGCGGATTAGCAAAAATCTTTGAAAATCAAACGGGTTCTTCACATAATCCCTGTGTAACAATTTCAAGAAAGAGAATAATGGGGTTTAATATTGACTAGACACAAACTAGGTCATTATGGCACTAACATATAGTTCAATTTCATTACTCGCGTGCACGTAGTGGTATTTCCCTCCCTGTCGGAGGAAACCAGGCGACCCGGAGCACACGAGGTTGGACAGGCGACGCACAAGCGGGGAATCGAAACAACACCACTTGCCTCATTTACAGACCTAATAATTACACGCGTTGAACTATTCGGCCACCCATCCCCCAAATAAAAATAATAAAATACCTTCTGCTACTAGAAAGATTTTAATAAACGATCAAGGGCAATATCCCCGACTTCTATATCTCATGACCATAAACACCTTGGTACAATTTTCAAATCAATCAGATTATTACTTTAGCTAGAACTGGTTCTGATTTAATTTTATGATGCTGTATATGTCTGTGCCACAATAATCTATCCATCTAACATACTGACATACAAATTGCATTTGTGTGAGTGGTGGACAACAGGCACGCCCCCCCTCCCCTATTTTTTGCGGTGGCGAACAATTTTTACCCCATATATTCTCGCGGGAAAGAAACTAACAGTCAGCTTAGATTGAAAATCGTAATTTACTCCGAAACGAGTCGGTTGGTGACTTGGTTGATTGCCCGTCAGTCCGCACACCGAAGGCCGGGCAGCACGCCCACCCCCACCCCCCTTTCTGAAAATCCTGGATCTGCCCCTGGACAATGACCAGAATAATTATGCTCCCTTTTAACTTTAACTCCACCCCCGCGCCATGCCATCTATGTCAAGACATTGGTCCAGTATGTGTTATACCGAAATACTTGAAATAATTTTTATTCTTTGTAAATCCGGCTGCAAAACACCGGGATCCAACCCATGGCCTTCCTGATATTGAGCCAGTGTCATAGACACTAAGTCACTGTGACTCCATCAAAATACAAATTGTCACCCGTTGTTAATCGCAAATCTTATTTCAGTATACTATTCACAGGATTGCCGGCCCTTGCCGCAAGATGGGGGTGTTCCAACTGCATGGCGTCACTTGGCCTGAAACACATGGAGTCGATCTGTACACGATCTGTTAAAATGTCGCGAACAACGTGGAACTGGAAAGTAAACCCTTTGCAAATAAATAAATTTCACATTTTTGTCATATACTTAATGTTGATACTGGTAAACTGATTCCGGAGCGGAAACACTGTGTCAGCAATAATAACATTTATAGGCGAGGCGGTAATACAGAGGAAAATACACTATTATAAGCACCAGGCTTTGGAACACTAATTATGTCATGATATGGCGCTAAAGTAGGCGGTTTTTGTCATTTTTGGACAGGGGGGTTGGATGGCCGAATGGTTAGCACGTGCGTGCTGTATCATACGACCTGTCATTGAGTCAACTGGCGTGGTTTCGAATCCCCGGTTGTACGTGACAAGGAGTGGGGTCGCCTGTCCAACCTCGTGGGTTTTCTCCGGGTCCTCCGGTTTCCTCCCACTGCTAAAGACCCCTACGCGCAAGCGAATTATTGAAATAAAATTAAACCATATGTTAGTCCCGAAATGACCTAGATTGTGTCGAGGTTGGACAGGCGACCCTTCTCCTTGTCATGTACAACCGGGGATTCGAAACCACGCCAGTCGACTCAATGACAGACTTTATGATACAGCGCGCGCACGCTAACCATTCAGCCATCCAACCCCCCTTATATACAAGAACTTTTTGCCAATTTGTTTTATTACTCTTTCGATCATATGTAAATACATGTAATCTTAATTAAATCAACCTGCCCATAATATCATATATAATGTATTGGGCGTAAAATGTGCAATAAACAACAACAATAAATAGTGTCCACTGGATCAGTATGATAAATCCCATCAAGTGCCTGGTACAAACGAAACAGTCCTTTTCGTGGTTTGCAAAAGTGATAACGTAACGCCAAACAGAATTCAAACACGGTGCTGTACGCGAGGCAGTACAGTCATAGCCGAGGTTGAGCCTGTCTTAGTGAAATGGTTTCGGTGTTTTATCAGTTTCCATATATCATTGAATGTATTGTCTGAATAGGTGACGGCTAAAACAGGACATTTTTCGCCCTTTTCTTGTAAGCATTTTAATCCGTCGAACTTGGGCTTCAGTATCATATCTTTTCGGAAAAGTTTGATGGATATGCCCTGTATCTCGTACGGCAACATACCAAATAAGTACACATCGTCGACCCAGAAAAATGGAACTCTGAACGTCGCTCGGTATAAATCGGATATGACGTCACCACTAATAATGACGACAAAACCATAACAGTGAGGAAAAGGGTAATTAGCAAGCCCCTTCAAGATATGATCTGGAACAGCCCATTTCCCCACTCGACGGATTATTCCATGGAAGCTAACATCACAGTATAATGTTTTAGACGCATAGAGGTTGTTAGCGTTAAACACATTAAGAAATTTCCACATATCGAATATCACATCATCATCCAACTTCACGACGTATTTAACATGTGGACAATACCTTGACACCCAATGCAAACCCATGACTCCTTTTATGGTTAAATTATGGTAAGAATCGATAAAATCGCCTTGAACGACATCGCCATGTTTATTGAACTCTCTGTTTATATCATCTTGTGTTTTCGGATTTGTAACTTTCCCCAACAAAAACACAACTCGAACTTCCGCTGGCAGGAACAGGTCACGTGATCCATATGTTTTTCTAATATTTTCTCTTCGTTGGAAATGATGGGTTGCGGTGTGCACAACGACTAAAGCTGTTATCTGCGCAATGCCAGAACAAATAGTCTTATTATTCAATAAATAACCCTCATTAAATATTGGAGTGTGCTTTTGGTCATGCTTATATTTGGGTAGAAATATATTCCAGAATTGTAAAAAATAAACGAACCACAGTATAAACACAACAGAGACATAATATTTAATATATCTTGTGGTTTTATAAATAAACCGAGATTTTCTGCTGCTACACATTGTCCCTTTTTCAGCAATTATATCTGAAATCAGAAGTAAATTATAAATAATTAACAGAGTTACGGGACAGAAACCCCCCAAACTATTTTCTATAATCATATCAATCACAAAATGGTCGAAATATACTTAATTAAGCATTAGAACAATCACAAGTTAAATAGTGTCATGGCCTCGATGTTAGCGGATTAGATCATTATACTATACACTAAATACATTAACAATTACAGTATCTAGTAGTGTAATGTGTATACTGTTGACACTATTTTGTCAATAATCTTAACGAAAAAAATAATTATTTGAGAGTAAAACTTTAAAGATTAGCACAAATTTAATGACCCACTTAAAAACATGAACGGTTCGTCACTTCCCGTCAGTTTTTACTGAGTTTGTTAAGAATCTCATAGAATCTTTGAAAAAAAATATCGCCCAACAACTCACTTACTAGTAGTAAGTGTAGGGGGACCGCACTATACACTAAGGAAAAGACACACCCGAGGACAAAGGCACAAACTACACAGACATTGCAAGCGATAAACAACAAATATCAATGGCATTTCAATTTCGCATTATCCTCGTTCATCAATGCGCCTCATTACAAATCGCGCTCGAAAGCTTAGAGTACACACCGGCGTGTACTGGTTTTAAAATTGTTCGCTGTGTCTTCAGTATTTGATATATTTTTAAGGTAAGAAAACAACATCACTATTGACTGAGATCGACCAATGATTTGTGTTTGTAATATCATTATATTGTCCTGGTCAATATAACTGGCAATCTAGTGAAACTAAAAGTATTAAAAGACGAATTCTCATGAAAGTATTTATCGGGTGGTTATTTCCAATAAAAGTTTGACGAATTTGGTATATATATAGAATGTATAGACGCCCAATTTACTAGAAAAATACTAGATTAGGCAGTTTTGGGAACATTGAGGGGTGTAAACGTGTAGCAGACTCGGCAATTAAACGGCGGAAAAAGATTCAAGAATTAATTAACTAAGACCTCAATATCTATGGGAAATTGACAGTAAGTAATGACAAATACATCTGAAAATGGACCCACCCTCGGTGAAGTTAGGTGACAAAAAAGGCTTCAAAAAATAGATTTTTTATAGCTCGGAGTATCTCCTCGTGAATATAAAGTTTTGAGAGGGATTTGATAGATTAATTAGTTTCTGCATGTTTTTAGTCCAAATATATCGTCAAATCACACAGTTTGTACGTGGCAAGGTATCTTTAAACAATCGGACTTAATTTTTTCAAAACATATATTGTGGGCTGTTATTTGTATTTTATCCAATGGTGATTATCCCGTACGCAACTGAAGTGTTCATTTCTGACAGACTTCTAAGAACACTTCAAACGAAGTGTTCACTTTAGAAACACTTCCATTGAAGTGTTTTTTAAAAAAAAACTCCACCGGGGTGTTGATTTCTAACACACTTCTAGGAACACTTCAAGCAATGTGTTCACTTTAGAACCTAGAACCACTTCCAACAACAGTTCTTTTCAAGTGTTATAAAAACTCAATCTTGGTGCTCATTTCATTGACACTTCCAAAAGATGGTCTGATTCCACAGCATTTCATCGTCACCTTCATAATCTTCTCGCGGTGAGAAACGAGAAGAAGAGAGTGAGGAAGTGAGAGTGTCAGAACGCGAGGACACAGGACGGACTGTCAGTGGTGCAGTGCGATGGGGGTGGGGGTGGAAAGGAACAGTGTTAAGTCTTTTGGATGGTACGTAAAACAGAGGTCCCGTATATACAGTTGCAGATGTTAGAGGGTTGGTCTCGTGCAGAAAATATGGATTAATGTTAGATATTTTAGGTGGGACAAGAAGATTTTTTTTTTTTGGGGGGGGGGGGTGTTTACTTGTTTGTAAAATATGGTTAATCTATGCCGATATCTTCGTTGTTTCAGAGACGTGAGTCATGTGATTCAGTGTATAGAATTTTGTGGGATGTACCATTAACCAAACCCGTTATAGTTCTAAGGGCATCAAGGTGGATATTTTCAAGTTTTTCTCTGTCAGTTTTACAACAATTATCATAAATCACATCAGCGTAATCAGATATGGTCAGCTGTATCTATTATGTTGGTATTGTTAAAATTCACACGAAACGAAGGGGGGGGGGGGCTTTTTTGTGAAAAAGTCATGCTTTCTGTTTTATTTGGGTTTCAATTAACTTTCCAATTAGTTGACCGGGTAGTAGAAAGGTCATCGTTAAGACTGGATTAGCATAAAACTGGGTCCTCAATTATGACATACAAAGACGTATCGTCCGCAAATTGTTTGATATGGGAGTTTATGTTCTTGATGACGTCGTTAATGTAAATGAGAAACAGTGTTGGACTTAGGACGGAACCCTGATGAACTCCGGCTTCCACTGTTGTAATTTTAGAGGTTTCGTTTATAATAACTACAACTTGTTGTCAATTTGATAGATAATGTTCTAAAGTCAAAATTTGTCCCTAATTCCCACAGCATGTGATTTGTTTAGTAAACCTTTGTGCCAGACTCGGTCAAACGCGTGACTTACGTCACAAAATACATCTTTAATTTCATGTCCTTCAACCATAGCCTTAGCAATATAATCATTGATATCAATTAATTGATATACAGTAGAATCATTTTGTTTAAAGCCCGACTAAAATTATGTAAGTATTTATGAGGGCATTTTTCAAAAACTTTGCCTAGACAAATAAGAAGTGAAATTGGCCTATAATATCACCTTTCTTATAAATGGGGACATCATTGGCAAGCTTCCAAATATCTGGGGAGGTACCGAATTGAAATAATATATTAAACAGAAGAGCTAGGGGTTTAGATAAGGTTTTAAAACATTATTTGAGTATACGATTGTTGATGATCGGGGCCTGTAGCCTTGTTAATATACTCATTAAAAAAAGTAGGGGATTTTCAGAAACAATACAAAACTGCGGAAATGCACTTCTGTTTTATTAGAGGTAACCAGTGTATGTTAATAACAGGTTAATTGCCTACACAAGAACATAAACAGTTCATATGGGCGGCTTATCTGGCGGCCCCATTTTATTCGCAAAGAGATACACTGTCAAAAGTGGTTTTTGTCTTAATAATGAGTAATTGCTCCACCAATCCTAAGACATTCAGCAATTCGTCGTGAAATGCTCCTAATCAACCGTCCATTATGATTTGGGGCAATCTTACCCACTCCTCTTGCAGTGCCAAGGCCAATTCTTGCAGTGTTGTCGGTTGACGTTGACGTCGACGAACACGTCTCCTGATCATATCCCAGACATGCTCTATAGGGGAAAGGCCGGGACTCATATATGGACAATGGTGACGCTGGAGGTAGTCATTCACGACACGAGCGCGGTGGGCACGGGCATTATCATCTTGAAAGATGAAACGTCGACCTGCACGTTGAGCAAAGGGCAGAACTATCGGTGCCAGAATGTGGTCACGGTAGTACACACCAGTGACCCTTCCTTAAACAATATGCAAGTCCGTACTGTCAGTCATGGTGATTTCTCCCCACACCATAACAGACCCACGCCAGAATCTGTCATGCTGCCTGACGTTAACGTTAGCATGACTCTCATCTACACGCCTCTAAACGCGAGCACGCCTATCGGTGAAATCCAGGGTAAATCTGGACTCATCGGATAACATTAACCGGGCCCATCGACGATTACCTCGGTGAAATCCTGAGTAAATCTGGACTCATTTGAGAACAGTACACGCGCCCATCGACGATTACCCCAATTTATACGCTACCTACACCCCTGACGCCTGTTTGCCATGTGCTGGCGAGTTAATGGGGGCACAACACGCGGTCGTCGCGCATGCAAATGGGCTGCATGTAGCCGATTTCTAATCGTTTGGGGTGTAATTCGAATTCTTGTAACTTGGTACAAGTTTACAGAAAGCTGATTGGCAGGACCTGTGTACGAATGTATCGATCCTGGGCTTGTGTAGTGGCTCTAGGACGACCTGAACGAGGTCTATCATCAACATTGTGTGTTTGTTGGTACCGGTCCCACAGTCTGCTCATCACAGACGGTGACACATTAAGCATGTTGGCTACTGCTCGCTGTGTAGAACCCATTTGAAGCATGCCATAAGAGTATATTTAAGGATGATAAAATGTTACCAACTTCTTCATTGGAAAAACTAGGATCTTCGATAGATGCGTCATGGGGTTTAACATTTGGGGAGTCGTCTAGAGGATTTTCTACTTGGCACTGGTTAGCTAAAAACGTATTAAGAGTGTATCCGCGAGAAGACCATGCAAAAATCGCAAAAAGTGCTAAGATGGGGGGTCGGAAGTTTTTGATCAAACTTATGGTATGACACCCCCTAGGGGCAAGAGGTAACATGCTGAAGTGGTTACAGTCTGATGTCGCTCTAAAGGACTGTACAGGAATTATTCATTTTATGGGTAAAATTGCGGTTTTCACATGTGTATTTATCACTTTTTTTAAGCACAGACTGCATTCTATGGTGGAATAGCAACTTCTACCCCAGCACTCATTTGAAAAATAAAAATCAGTACATACTAATTTTGTGTGGACTTGTTTTAGGGTACCGTATTCACATTGTCCTTATAGTGCAGAAAAAGATACACTGTAACTTTTTCTTTCATGGTCGCAAGTAGAATTTCTTTGGATGGTTTTGAAGTGCTAAGCACATAGTATCCATAGGTGTAAAAAAAATGACCGGAATGCAACATACTTAAAATATACAGCTTATTGAAAAGTGCTAAAAAAAAGCTTTTGTGATACATTTTTTTGCGAATTTAATTAGAGAAATACATTTTTTGACTTTTATACGTTTTCATCATATCCATAGCCATTATTTGTACCATTTTGTACTCTATATAAGTCTGTATTTGTATTTGTTGTATATTTGGTATTGTCGTATTGTCCCTTTAACATATTTGTTGTATTGTCTCTTTAAGATTTCATTTTCAAACAAGTTACCGAAAATGGCTACAAAATGTTTAATTTCAGAGCATGTTTCCACTATTCATTTTGGGAC